CACCTACAATTATTAATACATGGTATCTTATAGTTGGATATCAGGGGTGGGGTTGTGATCGTGTATTTGCGAAACACAAAGTGAGAATTGACAAGAGGATTTTATGAAGGGTAAATGAGACAATTCTAACAATTTCGATCAAAACAGCTGGTGGAAAAAGTTATTTGATGCCGCAAAGTTGATGTAAGCATAATTAACTCGATATTTGGGCTTATTATTAATGTTCTGAACAGACTTAAGATACCATATGAATACAATTGCAATTTTCGAGATAATGTAATGCCTCGATTGTATAGAACATTAAGATCATTGCCACTGTAATTATATAGATTACGATAAAGGAGGGTAAATTTCTACACGTTTTGAGTGGACAAGTTAGCGTTGTATTAGTATTAGTATGGAAAGTAACCGGTGGTTCGATATATATCTATATATTATATATATATATATAACGATAATCAAGCGGCCGAATTTTTTGGTTGGGCACACGTGCACCAAGATAAAGAAGAATGATCTTGGATTGCTTGTCAAAATCGAGAAAACCATCTCGGGATATTTGGCCTGTATCGCGCAAGTACTCACAAGACCCCAACTGCGACTGGGCGCACTATGCAATGAAATGACTGTTATCAAGATCTCGAGTCGGCTTAGGTGGTTAGAAGATGAAACAGAAGTTTAAAACCTTTTCTGAGCGCATCGACGTCATATTAACAGGTCAATGTGTAAAGGTTTCCGCAACATGACCAAACTGCGATCCCAAACACTGTGCGATATCGACATTTCTTAGGCCGTCCCGAAGAGCTCAAGACAGCCCAATCCACATGCACACAAGGAGATAACAACGTTATACAACAACGAACGGATCGTAGTACCTCCTTCGTGAGTCGGCAAGTCTAAGCAAGTAGTAGGTCGCACCTCACATCATCAATTTTGTGTGACCGACTTTAGCACACATTCACCTCTCACCCGCACCGCCCATTCTTGGATGTGGGCTACTGTATATTGGGGACGTCACTACTTGGTATGATGTTGATAGTAAACTCGAATTACGAAGACCCTAGATATTACATATTACGTCCACGTGGTGCTAAACCGGTTACCTATAAGTAAAAAACTGTTTCCATATTCAATTAATCAATCCCTCACATAGGAATGTAGCCCCACATTATCGTTCCATCCAATAGGTTTTAGTGTATGTCACAGATACTCACACAAGTATATGTGCGCGTGTGCATACAATTTCTCGATTGCATCTGCACAAGTCGCACCATTATCAACCAACAGTATGGAGTAATAGTACTTGATACTATCCAGTCGTTTATGGCCTAAACGCTCCAGTATATCATCCTTCTTTTCCTTGCGCCGAAGATTTAAGGTGCATGCCGGTACGGAAGATACCCAGCCCAGTCTACAACCGATATGTTTGCTGAAGCAATAATGTTTAGTGTGGGGCCAAAGTAATTACATCATTCTGCACTACACAGTCATTCGGACAAGAAGGTAGCTTAATGCAGCTGAAAACATACAATATTCGTTTGTCATCATAAACATATACAAAATCTGACAAAGGGGGAGAACTCATGCATGATCATGGACAGACTGCGGTCCGATATATTCACTTTACAAGTGAATTTGAAGGCTTTACGAAAGCATATCCACACCTCCAAGCTCAATCAAAGTGAAATGCAATATTGTGTTAGCGTGGAATAAAGACATCAGCGTCATTGTTCTGCCTTTACCGACGCAGGGTTCTTGCTGTGTAGATATGTACTAACTTTTTTCGATGCCTTCTTACACACCATGGGCACAATGATCGTCATGCGTATATGAATCGACTTATAAACGACCAAACTATACATTAGTTTTAGTTCCACCAGGCCCTTCTAGTCTTCTTCACGATGGCCGGAAATTGGCATGACAACCACCCATATCCAGCAAATATTCCCGATGCACCTTCTCATGGCGTTGAAGTGGGAAAAATGTCGGGCTAAAATTGGTGTAGACGTACTGTATTTGCCATCATCAAAGTCCGATACAGTATCTACGCTTTCCATAAAGACACGATCGTGATTTGCAGTGCGACTGTTGATACTATCTAAGTGTTTGCATTTCGACTGCCGCGTCATCTGCGCCTTTGTCGGCTCACTCCACCGCTGTTGGCTTATTCGTGATGGCGAAATGTTGCGAGAAACTAAATGTACGGTGCGCACCACTGTTGAGCTGATTCGCGCAGGCGAAGGCGAAACGTTAAGTGGATTTATTCATGGTCCTTAGTTCGCTAACTTGCTTTGTTACCTCTGATTCAATCATTTTATATGCTAGACAAACTATTAATCTCACTGATTTATCTAGACCAATGAACACCCTTTGATCTTTTCAAGATCTTCTAGAAGGTTTAGGAAGCTTTCCTTGTGACGTCACCCGATGGCGTCAGGCTGTGCCTCTTCTCAGCCAGTCCTTCTCGATTCTTAGAAACATATCCATTAACATAAATAGCAGTAGGCGGTGCTATCTTAACAACCACCTATAACATGTAACCTTATTTTGGCGGCCAAATTTAAAAGAAATAAATATGTTTTGCCGTTTTCGCAATTGGAAGCGCCTTTTCAAACGATCTATTCGCACTGTACATAAAAAAGTCTTTTGAACGGTATAACACCAACTTATGTGCTTATCAGTCAACAAACACCAGCATGCCGAGCCTTAACAAACGGACGTGGCACATTCAGGTTGTGAGGTTAGTTGCTCCGCCCACAATATCATTCAAAATCAATGTGATTTTACAGGCGGAAACGGCTTTTGGAAGAAATTATCACTGCTGTAATGGGGTGGCCCATTACATGAAATTACCATAATGAGAAATGGTAACAAAGAATATTATGTTATTCTTTTGACAATATCACTGAATACGGTGATATTTTTATGTTCTCTTAAATGTCTACTCATTGGTTGATGTTGTGATTATATTAATCCACCAATCGCTGCTAGACGTGCGCAATGGGTGGCGAGTAGAAGTCACCATACGTTTATTTATATTAATAATTAAGTTAGGGCAAATCAGAGAACTAGAGACATTGTACTTCGTTACATTAAATAACATTTTTACTTTTTCTACGACTAAAGTCTTTGCCTTAGCTGTTTACCCTTCCACTGTAAAGTGCATATACCTAGCAGAGCACTGACCTTCACTATTATCAGTGAGAGTTGGCTACGTACTGGTTGTCCAGTACGTAGCGATCGGTGTCCCGTTACAACTGCGGCCGGCTATCACATCGTTTTAGCATAGGTTCCATTTCATACTGCTTTCCATCGAATTGTTCTGGGTAGAACCAAAATGGTATGCTTAAAAATTGTGACTGCACATACGAGGGCCTCGATCCGATGGTCCCAAAATCCCTCGCGGTCGTCTCTCTCACTACCTTTCGCCGCCATGCTCGAAAGTGCTGTCGGTACATGGACGTATGTAGCATGGCCCTGAGTAGCAAGGACGTCCAATACGCCGTAAAGAAGTATCGGTCGCACAGCAAGGTTCATCTTAAATACTAACGTATGTGAAAGTTTACCTGCTGCAGATTACTGTGCTTTGCAGTAGTTTTGGCAAAATGTAATGGGTTTTGATGGATTTGGATAATTGATTGCGTTGTTTATAGTGAATAGAGGAGGTTAACAGGCAAAACAATGCCGTTTAGGGTGACGACAGCCATTTTTGCACTTTTTAGACTGCAAAAATGGTTCTTCGACGCTAATTCGTCTACTTATTTATAGGACTGCATGTATAAAATACGATGAAATTGAGAAAAAAAGTTTACGCAGGGAATAACGGGGCGGCCAGATGGGGCTCGCCGCGAGCCAAAATCAATAAAATTATCCGAACTTTAGGGTCCTATAACTTCGCGGAAATTTTGTCGAATTAATATCCGAGCCCATAGAAACGAAGCTAGTAGTGAGCTTAAGCCATGTAGTCTTAGATTTGTGTTTATAGAAGTATGGGGTGAGGAGGAGCTGAGTGATGGAGATCGGAAAATGCTACAGGCTATTGAAGCTGCTTACTACATGGTCCTGAATATACTCGACTGCTTTTTTTCTGCCGCTCTTATGCTAACTCGGATGCGTAGATGCGCGCTCTCTTTAGCAAATTGACGGATGTGTCAGCAGTGACAACCATCTACGATCGAGCGGTCCCACGTTCCGACAGACAAGTCGCATAATCTCGCAATGCTGGATCAGTCTCTAAAGTGAATTCACCCCCCCTGCGTTCAACATCTCGTCATGAACATTCATCACGCGCACAAGTACTCGGATATTACCTGGCGCAATAGCCAACAGCAGTCGATGCGTCGCTGCCTTCACGCATCTTCAACAGAATCCGACGCGACGTTAACAGTATCTATCGCGTCTTCCTCTGCATCGAGCAAACGGGTCCATCATCATCATCTGTTTGCGACAGAGCCAAATCCCGGACCTAAAAGTAACCAATAGTAATCAAACATTACACGACTAACATGTGATTGATCACCACGTTTGCGACACACGTTCGTACGCAAACAGAGTCAGTGTCTCAGCGCCACATACATATCGAGGAATCACACTTACATCAGGGATTACATTGGCCACGTTTAGCTCGATCACGAGATTTTGACCCCGCTTTCGACGACTGTAATGTCGAAACCGACCCATTTTCTGCAAAACGAAACATTTCTAGTCTTTTGCACAGACCCGCGTTTCAGTTTTCAGTCGGTCGTCTACCGGGTGAACGTCGTGGTCGTGTTCGAAACCGCAGCCCATCTCGCCATGTCGAACGAATCTGCCCATTAGGTATTCGCTTCCAAAAAAGGGTCCACCCTTTCGACCCCATCCCTCGCAGCTCGAAAAAGAGCCCAATCTGCCCTCCTCCTCTTTTAATCGTCACCAGGCCACTAACGAACCACCACCACCACCCATTTCGTCCCAGCCAGCCATCTACCCACCCACCCATCTAGTCCCAGCTCCCTTGTCGCCGAATGTTCGCGCTCACTCGCCTCGCTCGCTCCGCGTGTGCCCACACTCGGTCCGTGTCGTACATTGCCCCTCCGCGCATCTCGGCCGACCAGAGCTACCGCTTTGGCGTCCAACTGGACCACCTCACGCCTCAGAGCGACGACGACAAGGCGGCGGTCGCGCACCTCAAGGCCGTGCTCAGCCTTCGCAATGCCTCGCAGCACGAACTGAACAAAGCGCAGGTCGCGACGGCCATTGAGACGTTCCAGCGCTTTCCTGGCGACACGGGCTCAAGTGAAGTGCAGATTGCGGTGCTCACGCAAAAGATTTTGCGCAGCACGTCGCATGCGCAGGAGCACAAGAAGGACCACCACTCGCGTCGCGGACTGATTGCAATGGTCGAGAAGCGGCGGAAGCTGCTCAAGTACTTGCGCCGCAACGATTTGCACAAGTTCCGCGCCGTGGTGGCGGCATTAGGTCTTCGGTTTACGTAGCCCAGGCGAGGCGAGGCGACGTCTTGAGGCGTGACGTGTGGCCCACACTCGAAAACAGCAGCCCGTTTGCTATTTGCGGCCGCTCGAATGGAAGCCGGTGCATGTCGAAAATGGGTTCATACGACGTTTGGGCGCGCAGTGGGGCGACTGAGTGCGATTTGCTTTTGTGGGTTTTGGCGTTTTTTCGTTTCCTGGTTTTGAGTTTTACTGGCGATGACTCGATCGGTAAGCGCGTTCCAGTTGCTCTCTCTCTTTCGGTCTCACTCTTTTACTTATTCGCGCAAGAGGGTATCAATGCACCTGAATTCAACATGCGTGCAAACAGAACCATACAAAAGCAGGTAACTTTAGGCTTAGAAGACCCAGCCTCGCGACCTCGTTGCTTGGCTTGTGGCTGTCTCTATCTGTCGGACAAGTTGTGGACGACGTCGGCACGTGGGCATGGCTTTTAAGGCGAGGAGGTCCATCGGCTGTGTTGCAATTGTGCGTTTCCGTGCTGCCAAGAATCGCCTTTGCTCGATAGCTCTGCACTGCCGAAAATGTTACTTGGACCCATCACGAGTGACGAGGAGTCCATACAAATTCGGTCGGCGGTCTCGAACGAGGCCCCAACTCGCCCGTCGAACATGGAGCTTCTCGAGGTCAAAGCTTTCCACGAGCACTCCTTCCGATTCCCGATCCGCGATCTTGAGCTACCAATGACAAGACATTGCAACAGCAGATGTTCCGACATGTGAGGTCATTGGCATTGCCGAAATCAGAGACAGCCACCAGTGCACGTACCATTTCGCCCGTTTGGCCCGTGATGAACGAGGACCCGACAAACGTGACTCGGATGCCATCGACGACTTCTGCGCCCACGCGGTTGGAGCAAATCACCGGGACCATGTTGGCTGCTGCATGGCCCTGCATCACCCGTTGCCATTGGTCACGCGGATCAAAGTTGATATCGTACTGGTTGCTGCCCATTGCACTCGGGTACAGCAACAGCTCGGCGCCCTGCACAACTAAGCTGCGAGCGACCTCTGGATACCATTGGTCCGACCCAATTGCTACTCCAATCTGTCCGTAGCGCTGCAAGACGCACCCGTCAACAGAAGCATTATGCAACAAAATATACGTCCTCAGTACACACGACCCACAACATGCCCTTCCAGCTTCTCGCTCTCATTCTCTCTTTGTCATCGTACCGTGTTCCACACTTTGTACGAGTCGTCCGATGGCGTAAAGTAGTATTTCTCATTGTACCCGAGTCGATCTGGCCACCCACACAAAGAGGGATACATACACCCGACCATGTGAACACCAGTTGACCCGCGAGTTCAAGTGAGACCACAAACAGGCAAGTCAGAGGTCCTCCTGACGATGCGTTTTGCCCCAACGTACCGCCAATGTGGCTCTTGCGTGCAACACCCAGCACACTTCCATCAGCGTCGATCACTGCGCACGAGTTGTAGTACGAGTTCCGGTACCGCTCGAAAAAGCTAATGGGGATCACCACATGCAGTTCTTTCGCCAGCAATGCCATTCCCTGCACGAGCGCCGACTCTTCGAGCGTCGTGGCCAGCAGGAAATTGCCGGCATTGAGCTCAATCGGAAAGTACGAGAACTGAAAGAGCTCTTGGAGCAGAATCACTTGCGCTCCCCGAGAACTGGCAATCCGTACGAGCGACTCGGCCTTTTTGATATTCTCCTCGGGGTTCCCACAGCTCATTTGCGTTGCAGCGACTGTCACTGTCTACATGAGGCCAAACCACAACAACCACAACCACAACCACAACAACAACAACAACAACAACAACAACAATATACCAATAACCGCAAAAGAGACAGAGAGTCAGAGAAATAGATACTTAGCGATTCTTTGCAACGTGGGACAAGAATCGAAACGCAATGGATTGACTGGTGGCGAAAAGAGAGAGAGAGAGCGAGAGAGAGAGAGAGAGAGAGCGAATAAAACACACGAGGGGAGGGACGACGTCGCCACGTACGCGGTCAATAGCACCAGGTGCGGTCGTGAAAGTCGACACGCCGACAGTTACGGAGCCCGTCGTGGACGACCCATTGCGAGCGTTGGACGTGAGCATGACGAGCTGAGGAGGGAAAGGGACTGTGGCAGTCAATTAAATAGGCAGACACAGCCGGATCGACGGCTGAGCTCGACAGTCAGACGAGACGTATTGTGTGTGCGAGTGGGCATAGGAGAGACAGCTAGTCACGATCTTACGGCGTGGAAAGCCAAACAAACAAACAAACAAACAAACAAACAAACAACCAAACAAACAAACAAACGAACGGATCAATTGATTGGTTGCGTGGTACACATGTGCGAGTCGCTCTCCATCTCTCTCTCTCTCTCTCTCTCTCTCTCTCTCTCTTCGTCTCTTTTGCTGCAATCGATTACGTCACGAGTCAAATGAAACTCAGCACGTTTTATTCACTGTGCGTGATACACAGTCGTGAACGAAGAGGCGATGCTGGACATGTTGTGCTAAGCGGAGCTGTAACTTAACTCCACTGCTTCATTCCGCTGCTGTCAGTGTCTGTGAGGCACAGTGGCGTCCGACTGAGCCTCTGCCAGGTGACAGCTCTCGGCTTGTCCTGTTTTTATCTGCTTCTCCCCATGTCGCTAGCAAATGACGCCCAAGTGCTTTGTGCGCGGGTACTTTGTCTGCAACTGCGGCCACTGGACAACAAACTCGTCCGCGACGTAGTACAGCAGTTTGCCCGTGAGCGACAAGTGCTGGACACGAGCAAAGCTCTCACAGAAGATGATCTTGGAGTCGGGTTCGACGCCGAGGACTCGGAAGAGCAGAACTGCTGCACAGATGGGGATACACGTCCCTAGAGGAAGCACACAGCAGCAGCAGTACGAAACAAACACAAACATTTGCACCGAAACACATCAAACGCCGTTCCATACTGTGTTTGTCAGACGACGAATAGGACTCCTGCAAGCGCACCAGGTCCATTGCAGAGCACGAGCTGTGGATGACGATTGTAGACCAATCGCAGACACGAGTACAAGGATAACAAAGTCGTCCACACAGAGGACGACCACGACTGTCCCACCTGAAGGAACACCCATCGTTACATCCGCATTGATTCGTTCAAACAAACAAACGCCCATCCATTCAAACAAACATACAAAACGCACATCCAGGCACACAAACAAACAGCCGTATGACCGTCGAAACGAACGAACAAACAAACAAACAAACAAACGCACAAACAAACATCAATGCGGTCAGTCAACGGATCGAAACACCATTGTGTCCTTCCTATTCAGTCCATTTGCATCAAATGTCGATGTTCAACGCAATAAAACACGTTGCGCACCTCTCGACTCCGCGGAATCACAACAAACGCGTCCGTCGCCTCTCGAAAGTCATAATCCAACTGCGTCCTTTTTTTACTCGTTCTGTCCGTCTCGGCCAGTACAAACGTGATATACGTATACACGTCGCGGTTCAGTCTCTTCATGAGTTTCAGCAGCTCCGTCGTGTGGCCTCCTGACCCAAGCACTGCCATCACTCGGACGTCTCGGGGCGAGTTCTTGCACCTCAGTGCGTTGTACCAGCCATTCGACTGCGAGTAGGTGGAAATGGGCACTTTAAAGCGCAGTGGAACGACTACGAGCCAGACGCGGACAAGAAGGACGAGCAGTAGGAGCAGTGCGAGGCTAAACCCGAGCCCTGGTTTTAGCTCCTCCATAGGGGACTTTTAGTGCCATGGACACGAGAGAGGAGGGCTAAAATCACGTGGGGGTAGATAGAGACCCTCAACAAAGTGTACCCTCTCCCATTGTGTATACACACGGCATGTGCTAAGGCAATAGGAGAGGGGTACATATCCTCCGCGTCGGTATAGTGGTCACACACCACGTGGCGGCAGTCGACCGAGAAGAACCTAGGGCGACGCACCTAGACCTGCTCGTGCCACTCTCTCCAGTCCAACCTACAGCTCTAGCTTCACTCCAGTTGCCAGGCTCCACCCCTCGTCAGCAGTGTCCCACGCGCACATTCAGGTCACATTCCCCTCCAGGCCACATCCCCATAGCAGCCACTCGGACGCGCTCGTGTCCACCCGCCACCTGAGCAGCTCCGTCGGCCACACCGTATCCACCCGACGCCGCCGCGCGCGTCTTCTCTCCCCATCCCCCCACGACGCTCCGCTTCGGCCCGTGGCGCCACTCCCTCATGGACGCCGTCGTCGCCCGCGCCCCCCACGTCGGCCGCGCCCACGCTCTTCCGCCGCCACCGCCTGCGCGTCAAGGAGCTCCTGGGCCGCGGCCTCGCGCTCGAGGGCACGACCGTCACGGTCCAGGGCTGGGCCAAGACGCTGCGCGAGGCCGGGGCCGGCGCCTTTGCGTTCCTCGAGCTCAACGACGGCTCGTGCTGCGCCGGCGTCCAGTGCGTGATCCACAGGGACGAGACAACAGGCTTTGCCGACGCGCTGGCGTCGGGCGGAGTGGGCGCGAGTTTCCGAGTCAAGGGCACTGTCGTCAAGTCGCCGGCCAAGGGACAAGAGGTGGAGCTCAAGGCGCTCGACGTGACAGTGTACGGCGGCATTCCCGACAGCGCCACGTACCCCATGAGCAAGAAACGCCACACGCTCGAGCACCTTCGGGCGCACGCGCACTTGCGGCCGCGCTCCAACATTCACGGGGCAGCGATGCGCGTGCGCCACGCGCTGGCGTTCGCCACGCACGAGTTTTTCAACCAGCGCGGCTTTTTGTACGTCCATACGCCGATCATCACCGAGTCGGACTGCGAAGGCGCCGGTGAGATGTTTAGCGTGACGACGCTGCTGAGTCAGCACCCAGACGGGCAGCTGCCGGTCACGAAGGACAAGACGATTGACTACGGCAAGGACTTTTTCGACCGGCCGGCGTACCTCAGTGTGTCGGGTCAATTGAACGTCGAGACGCACAGCTGCGCGCTCTCGGACGTGTACACGTTTGGCCCGACGTTCCGTGCCGAGAACTCGAACACGTCTCGTCACTTGGCCGAGTTTTGGATGATTGAGCCCGAGATTGCGTTCGCCGACTTGCAAGACGACATGGACTTGGCGGAAGACTACCTCAAACACTGCGTGCAGTACGCACTGGACCATTGCGCCGAAGACCTCGCGTTTTTTAACAAGAACGTTGAGAAGGGGCTGCTGGAGCGACTGACGGCGACGGTCGAGTCGCCGTTTGTGCGCATCTCGTACACGGACGCCGTGGAGCTGCTTCTGAAGCCCGAGCACTTGGAAAAGGGCAAGTTCTCGGTCAAACCTGTCTGGGGAACTGATTTTGGCTCGGAGCACGAACGCTACTTGACGGAAGTCGTGTACAAGAAGCCCGTGGTGATTTATGACTACCCGAAAGAGTTCAAGAGCTTTTACATGCGTCTGAACGACGATGGCAAGACGGTTGCTGCCGCGGACGTGCTGGTGCCCAATGTCGGCGAGATCATTGGTGGGTCGGCCCGTGAAGAGCGTCTGGACGTGCTGGAGGCTCGCATGCGCGAGTCGGGTGCCAACCCGGAAGACTACAAGTGGTACTTGGACCTGCGCAAGTACGGCTCGGTCCCGCACGCTGGTTTCGGTCTCGGCTTCGAGCGTCTCATTCGTTACGTGACTGGCATTGAGAACATCCGTGACGTGATTCCGTTTCCACGATGGCCGGGCAATGCCTCTTTCTGAGCTGCTGCTGGGGCGCTGGAAAGGAAAAAGTGCTCGGCACAGGTCAACAGGACAGCGTTGGTGACGAACTGTTTCGATATCGGTCTGTGGAAGGTGGTGCGATAAGGGCACTGCTAGTCGGAATCGCTGCGTCAAGTCGGGACATGTGATTGGTCATCGTCAGCAGTCTACTTGTAGTGTCGCTCTGTGACGATGATTGCGTGTCGAGTTTGGATCAAGTGCAAACATTTGGCCACTGTCAGCTGTTTTAATCATCCTCCTGCCCGTGTTTGTTTTATTCATTGCTTGTCGCGCTGGCACGTTTCACCAGCGGGGAGGCGTCCTGATATTAGCTCGTACCGTATGTACCTGCTGAAGTACGAATCACGCTCCGCCAATCACACTACGGCAGTCAGTGCCTCCATCCGAAGAAGAGCTGCGTGCGATCTCGGGTGGTGGTCCTCCTCATCATGACGCACGACCTGTCGTCACGCATCGAGTACTCGGAGAAGTACGTGGACGACACCCACGAGTACAGGTACGTGTGTGTCGATCGTTCTGGTTGTCTTGGCGCTGTTTACAGCTGACAGACAAAAGAAGAAGTGAAAAAAACAATGTTTTATTCACTACTCGATGCGTCTGGACAAGCTCCTGCTTCGAGTGGCGTGTGCTACCAAATTTGTTTTAAACACGCTGTTTTTTTGTGGTCCAATTCTGTCAACGTCCCATAGACACGTGATCTTGCCCAAGGAGATGCAGCGGCAGTTACCCGATCGTTTGCTGACCGAGACAGAGTGGCGTCAATTGGGCGTCCAGCAGAGCCGCGGCTGGGTGCACTATGCTATTCACAAGTACGTGTCGCTATTGCGTTTACGATACGGCTCTTTCCATACCTCCTCCTCCTCTGGTTGTATGAGGCTTTTGTCGACAAGGAGGGGAGATTGGTGGTCAATGGATCGATGATGTCGTTGCTCGAGCGCCACTTGCAAACAGTTTGCACCGATACATTCAGTTGATTGATTTGATTGCACAGATAGCATTGCACCAATCCATTCAGTTGATTGATTGTTGTGTTGTTTTGTGCGATGTCCTACAGACCAGAGCCGCACATTTTATTATTTCGACGTCCGCTGGGTACGGACCCGACGACTGGTCGCGTTGACCTCGAGATGGAAAAACAGGCCAAGCAAAAGTACGCACAAGAGTTCAACTGAGGCGGCGGTGACGATCGTCGACGGGGTATGCAGACCGAACGAAACCCCGGGCAGCAGGAGATAAGTAACGACGAGCGAAAGCTTTGTCAGTATCCTCTGCTGACTCTTTTGACGTACCTTTAGTGGCCAACGTGCACTGATACCAACGCCTTTTTGCACACGATAAGTACGATGATTTGCAACAAGCGGACCCGACTGTACCGCGCGGACGGCTTTCATTTATCAGGTCTGATTCTAGCTCACTTCTCAGGCAATCAGGTCTCCGCTTGCTCCATGTACCGTCCACACTTCACGTAGCATTCATTGCGTCTCGCTCTACTTCGCACCAGTACAGTTCAGATTCGTTTCAGTGCTCGAATCGTCGCAAACTGCGGCCAGAAATGCAGATCACGTTCATGGCCACATGTGATCCTACCGCCTGATTGACGACGCATCTGATAACAACTTATCGATCCGTTCGTGCAATACTGACACGTGATTGATTGTCCATAGTTAGCAGACCACACAGCGGGTATCGATACAAAACGTCTGCTGCACCATACGTGACAACAAATCGCATGCTCTACCGAACGTCCAAAGGAAAACGCGCTCGAGGCTGCACCATACGTGAATGCAGCGATGGCAGCCTCGTTTCACGTCTTCGCTTGTTACTGTAGACACGCGTTGAGCGATTTCAACAATCGTAGTCGCCATAGAGAACGACATACGTGTCTGCTCGATCGACAATCGGATGATCTGAAGACATCGTACTCGGTACTTCAACTGCTTTTCGCCCACATGGTCAGTTAAAGTCACGATATTACCCCTCGAAAACGTTCCTGGGACGTCGAGGACTCCCTGATCGCAGTTCGTGACAAGGCGCCGTCAGCCCTCACGTATCCGAAGGAAATCCAGAGCGAGAAAAGGAACGCAAGATAAGGTCACCACGTGCCGCCGTGCTACCTGTTACTCACCCCTACGTATGCCCATCTACGTGAACTACCGCCGATCCGAACAACAGTGCAGCTGCTGCTGGACTTTGTCGACCGTCGCAAGATGATGGAACGACCTCGACCCCCTCGCCCGCTCTTCTCTTATTCACCCAATGCAGCAGCATCGACGTCACCCCTCAACATCATTGCATTGCATAAACGACGACAAACCCCATCACCAATGCCAGTACCATCACCACCGATGCCTTACTTTTGACGCCCGACAAAAGAGCGCTTTTTTTTTCTTTGCCCTGAGTACATCCAGTGTAGTAGCAGTCACTGCGAGCGAAAAATCACTATCAAGAAGGAGCACAAGCGCAAAAAAGTCGCATCGACTCTGCTTTGTGACGCGTGCGTCCAGTCGGTGTAAAAAAAGCAAAACCTCGGGAACTCCCAATACGACGCGCCCGTCACCAACCGTCAATTTGGTTTCCGAGTCCGGCGTGACGCCGGCTCGTCTGTGCACTTCAACCACCTACCCTTCCCCCTTCTCGCCAACGTGACGCGACGATTGGCCAGCTGCCGCCACAAGTCGCTGTGCCACGCCGCTTCGTCGCGTGTCCAGAAAGGACTGCGGCGGCGGCGATTGCTGCTACTTCACGCACATACACATGCACATGCACATACACTTTTCGTTTTCGACGCGAGCGGCAGTTGCCAATTGTCTCGCGATCCCATCCGAGTGTTCCACTCGTCGCCCCGAGGGCCACAGCAGTCACTGCTGCCCAATCCACTTCGGTTCACCGCAGCAACAGCAATCACAGCACCCGATACACTACTCACTACCGCCGCTGCGTAGCCGTAGCAAGTACGAACCCAACCCAATTGCTGGTCATGCCGCCACGCGAAGACCGCGTGCTGCTGGCCACCAGTGCAATGAAAGACGCCATGGGCGCCGAGATTAAGAACCGCCACGTGCCCGTGCACGTGAAGATGCTGGCGGGCATGGCCGGGGGCGTCGCCGAAGCCTGTATCTTGCAGCCGCTGGACGTGACGAAGACGCGGCTGCAGCTCGACCGCGCGGGCCGGTACAAGGGGATGGTGCACTGTGGGCAGACGATCTACCGGACGGAAGGCGGGCGCGCGCTGTACAAGGGACTGTCGCCTTTTGTGACGAACATGGTGCTCAAGTACGCGCTGCGGTTTGGCTCGTTTGCGTGGTTCAAGGAGCAGCTGGCGGGCGGGAAGGACCGGCCGATGACTTGCACAATGAACTTTACTGCGGGACTCCTCGCGGGGTGCATCGAGTCGGTTGTGATTGTCACACCGTTTGAAGTGATCAAGACGCGCATGCAGAAGGAAGTGGGCGTCGGTCGCTTTCGCGGACCGATTGACTGTACGCGGCACGTGGTCCGACACGAAGGCCTTCAGGCGCTCTGGAAGGGCAATACGCCGACCATGGCCCGACAAGGCAGCAACCAGGCGTTCAACTTTATGGCGTTTGCCTGGCTGAACCACAACGTGTGGGACAAACAGGACGGCGACGGCAAGACGCTGCCGACGTACGCGACGTTTATCAACGGTCTCATTGCAGGATCGCTGGGGCCCATGATGAACACGCCCATGGACGTGCTCAAGACGCGGCTGATGGCGCAAGAGACGGTGGCTGGGCAAGAGCCCAAGTACAAGGGCTTTTTCGACGCGCTCAAGGTCATTTCGAGGGAAGAAGGGGTTGCTGCGCTGTGGAAGGGGTTGCTGCCGCGTCTGACGAAGATGGCCCCGGGCCAAGCCATCACGTGGTCGGTCGTCATGCGCGTGACGTCGATCTTTGAGAATCAAGAGCTGGAGCTCGCCGAGAACGAGATGAAGATGTAGAGCAGCGCACGCTACCGGAACGCGGCGAAAGACCACTTGAGCTGCAATAGACGCAAGTGCTGGAAGCAATAGTCGGTAGAGATTGTTGTAGCGCAGGGCAAGAGATTCGGTAGCGGAGAAGATTCCTTTGGACTCGGCGATGGATTATGGATCGATCCTATATATGCACATCACGTTTGTGTTTCGCTGGGCCACTGGTTTTCCCGTATCGCATCTCGTGAGATTGGCCGCTTTTCTCTCGGTGGCTCTTGGGAACGTACGGTGCGGACGCCTACATCGGTACGATCGCGACTAAGCCATTGATGGTGCAGAAAAGCGCAACTCGATCGATGGGCGAGCGGAAGCGGTCTCATGTTTACGCCCGTTTGACAGAAAAGGTCGTCCAGCGCTTCGATCTATCGACAACCCATTTCTGCTACTGCAAGAGAATGGATCAGCTTTTTCGTCAGCTCAGTCGCTTTGCAAAGTACAGTCTATTATCGCGTTGCGCGGGACGCGAATGGCCGCTATGTCGCTCTCGCTCTCTATTTCTACATCTCTACAGTCTCATTCACAAAAACATAGTACACTCTTTGGCTTCCGTCTTGCGCGCGCTCTCGTTATTGACTCGCACGCGTCGGTCGAGACGGCGACGACGACGGCGACGACAACGACGACGACGACCTCTTTCCGTCGTGTGATAGTCGCTCGGTCGGTGGAAAGTCCCGTCGGAGCTTCACTTCGATCTCAGCTTCCGACAACCCCATTGTCCGGTACTTTGCGATCGCGCCCAGCAGCTTGTCGAGGTGTCGACTCGTGCTGGACAGCCTCGGCGGCAATCCAAAGCTGTCGCCATTCGAAAAGAGGGAGCTGCGGTCCAATGATGTATCGCCCTCGCTCCGGGCGTGACTATGGACAAGCGGTGGCGCCAAGTCCTCCATCATCATGCCATGCGGTCTCGCCACTTCGTTTGCAACATCGTCGTCGTCGTCCTCCTCCTCACTCTCTTCGTCACTGTACTCGCCGTCGAATTCATCATAGTAGTCGCTGCCAAGCGAGTAGACCGACCCCTCCACTAGTGTCTGCTGCAGCGCTTCGCCACTCGCGCTCCTCGAAGCAGCAGCATAACAGCTATTGCGACTGCTCGCTCGACTCCGTCCTGTGCCTTTTCGTGGCCGCAAAGACACTCGCGCCGTCGCTCGTGAACTATGAGACAGCGTCGTCGAGCCACTGTCCGTCGCGGCCATTGTCCCGCCCGACAATCGGTGCCACGGGGCGCCGTGACTGCAGCACGCGCACACGCCGCCGCCCGGATCCAGTCCCGTGTTCCCTGTCTTGTACGTCGAGCAGCCGCACGGTCCCGAGTCCGTGTCCCGGCCAAAGACACACGTGCCGCGGCGTCCCACACGCGACCGCACGCGCTGCGCCCGTCGCTCCAGCTCCTGCCACAGCAGCGTCCGCGCCGGCACGGGCTTCATGGGCACGAGGCCCGCGGCGCGCTTGGCGGCAAACTCCTTTGCAATCTCGAGCAGAATCGTCTCGGCCTGTTGAACGCGCCGTCGCTGCTGCTCGTCGCGAGCTGTGTCTTGAGCTGCAGGCTGCGCTTGCGCTTGCGAGGGGATGGCATTGATGCTGTCGTCCTGCCGCAAGGGGGCGAGAGGGGCCCCAGCGACCGCTCGGTGGCCGTCAGAGGCCGCGGCGGACAGCGCGTGCATTGCGGCGAGGGGCGAGCGGTCGTGCAACGTCCGACGCGTCTCTTGTGCACACTCGCGACCTGTCGCTGCAGCAATCGACCGTCGCGTCACGTGCGACTCGGTCGCTCTTGTCGTTGCGGTTGTCGCTGTCGTTGCGGTTGTTGTACTGCTGCAGTCGCTCGTGACGCCGTCGCGCGGCGACCGCGTGCGGCGTTTGGGGGAGGGACGCGGGTGGGGGAACCCAACGGGGCGACAAAAGGGATGCGACGTTGGGGACAGCGTCTTGCGACGGGAAGCGGCCGACGCGCAGAGCGCTTGTGGCTGTGGCTGTGGCTGGCGGAGGCGGAGGTCGTCGTCGTCGTCGTCGCCGTCTTCTGGTTGTGGTTGTCGACGGTGTTGACGGCGTTTGGGTTTCGCGACTGCCAGTGAGTTCCCCATCGACGGGTGACAACGGAAGTGGCAAATGGAAAAGTGAGTGAGTGAGTGAGGAAGTGAGTGTCTGTCTGACTGACTCAGTGACTGACTGACTGACTGACTGCGTGAGTGACTGCGTGAGTGACTGCGTGAGGGAGTGACTGACTGAATGGCTTGAGACGTGATAGACAAACAATTAACAAACAATTGAACGGCCGGACGGCCAAACGGACGGCCGGATACCAAACGAGACGCGCCGGTGAAAAGAAACCGATTGGCGTCTTCGGTGTACAATTCCAAAGTGGTCGCGTCGTGTGTGACTTTTTGTGGCGCAAGTGTGACGAAAGGTGTCCAAGGCCGAGAAACTACTTCACACGCAATCGACTGCGAGAAAGAGAGAGAATAACTCGCGTCTCGACGGCTTGAAACGGCGATGACAGGCTCGACAGACGGGCCACGCGCCCGCGACTCGAAAGGTCCTGGTTTGGGCACTCACGGCGGCCGGAACGCACTCGATGTTTGTATGCACGTTCGTGGTTGTGTGTGTCTCTGTGACGGCAAAGGCGCATGTGCTCCACAAACTTCGAGGGAAAATCAAACACGAGTCACACCTGACTTGACGGACACGCGGGCTAGTGGCGGAGGTTCATTGCTCGATGAGGTCGTCCATGTTGACCTGTGTTTACTGACGTCGAAGATACTGACGTCGTTCTTGTTCGAAAGAGAGGCCCACGCGATCCGACCACAGGATGGGGTTGTATTGTTTGGGTAAACGGATGGGAGGGCTGGCGGGGGCTGGCGGGGGCTGGTGGGGGGGTCGATTCCAGCGCCTACAGGAGACTTACAAGAACGAACAAACAATTGCTACAGTTGACCCGCCATCGAATGTGCACAGGCACATACCGAAATGTCCATACATGAACAATTATACATTCCGAAAGGGAGATGCTACATGGACAAAAGAGATTCATGTGGTGGTCGCAGCCCTTTTTTCGCGTGCTGAAAGAGGTCGAGGAGAAGTGACAACAAACCTCTGTCTACAGTGAGCATGCTAAGGTGACTACTGCTGCTCCTGCCGCTACTACTGCGGCACCACTACCACATACAAAGCAGCACTTCTTCTTTTTCGGTCGTGAAGCTTTGCTAGAGATCGGTCGGTCCGTCGGTCGGTCGATCGATCTTCCAACCGACAGCACACCGATCGATGTAGTATAGCGAGCAGTAGTCCAATCGAGACCACTGAGGTCGACAGCGTTGGTCTCCGTTAGTACTGTATCATGAAAGTGCAGCACTCGATGCCGTTTACGTACGTCATGCTCGGGCTTGAGCCAGCAATTTGCACCAGCTCGTTCCGGTCGAGTCGTTGGCATAGTCAGTCATCTCTACCGAGCGACATGAAACATCGACGACGAAAACGGCGCTGACGACGAGACAGTGGCGACTGTGGCGAGTGAGGCAAAACAGCTCGCGCCTGTCCGTCTTGTAACCGTGACACTTCAACTAGCCAGTCCAAGCGAGCCAGTCCAGAAGATCGCGAAGGGAGTCCCCGTCAAACGTGCGGCCTGTGAGGTAAAGCATGCGACAGGTTCTGGTACGACGTTACAAAGTTGACTGACGCACTTGGTACCGAAGTTGCGTGGTAACATGAGAGGGAGTGCATTACCAACACCTGTCGTCCTGTGTGTGTGTGTGTGTGGCAATGGTCTACTTTGCTGCAAGCGTAGTCTTTTGATTGTATAGTACACTGGGCGAACGCCACGACGCACTCACTACCGGGTAAGGAGTGCGTAGCAAGTGAGTGAGATATAAATCACGGACTGACTGTCCGGCCAACCGCTATTTTGTGGCGACGAGTATAGTATTGAACGTGGAAGCGCTGGATCTGCCCACAATATGTGAATAAGATGCCACAGGCTTCAGGCGCGAGTAATCTTCATTACACTGCAAGCTCCAGTCCACCCTTTATGACCTGGCGGGACCACAAGCAGGATGAAACACCTCGCAGTCTTGGTTTCGACTTGTTCGCTCACGGCTCTTCCTTTTTGTTGCTAACAGGGTCCGCTCCACAGACAATTCCGACCTCCGAAACGTCCTCGTTCTTGGTCTCCGGTTCCCGATTGGCAGCACGTTCGCAGTCCAACTTGTCTGCAATGCTTCCCGGTGTTTGCTCGTCATTGAGCTTCGTTTGCTGCGCCAATTTCTGGGCAGCGTGCAGCACAGCATCCTCTTCGCTGTCTTGTTCCTCTTGCTCTGCTTGTTCGGCACTTGCGCTCTTGGGTAGAAAAGGCTCGCCGGGACACAGTGCCTCGAAAATAGCACGGGCATTGGCACTCGCGCTTTCGAGGTGGATATCCAAAGGACTGGCACCGTTGTCGGATGAATCCTGTTGCTGGACGGGATCCGATCGATTATCTGAGTCAGCCATACACGTTTCGCACACCCACACGTTTGCAGGGATATCTCGACGTTTTGTACTTGCACTGGCATCATAAGTGCCAGTGGAAACAAGGTGGTCCGTGGTAAAGATGGCTCGCCAAGCGATCCGGTCGCTCCATTCTGGCTCGGAAGGTGGATTCGCGTTCACATCTGAGGCTCTCACTTCACCTGCATCAGCTAACAGCTCTTTTGTCGTGTCCGTGGTAGTCTCGAATGACGTCGCTTTGGCGTCTGCTTTGGTCTGCTTGCCACACTTTTGCTGCAACTCTGTTTCCGAGCTCAGAACAAGTCGTCGGATAACAGACTGCAAGAGCTCTCGCTGCTTCACAGTCTGGTTGAACCAGTCAGCTGGCAACGGCATCGAGATGTGAGCGAGGAAGTAGCCCTTCGGACACGCGTACGCACCAACATCCAGCTGCACAACTTGAATCGCAAACGGGTTCTTGAACTCAATGTCCTCTGGAGGAATCACAAGCATGATACGGGCCATATCTTTGCGCAAGGAAGTCTTCAACACAAACACACCTCGGAGTATACGGCCGTGTGCACGTCCTCTCTCTCGTCCATCATCGGTAAGGCGAAGGCAGTCAACGTAGCTACCGCTCGTCACGATATGCTTTGCTCGCAATACATCGCCATCGCTGCAGCGTACGCCACTGAGCTCTCCCTTCTCAGTGTCCAGCAAAAACCCATCGACAGAAGCGCAGAGGACGTAAATGCCACCGTACACAGCGCTCAGTCGACAGAAGCTTTGCGCAAGCTCGCTGATGCCGTACAATGGAGCCAGGAAAGCGGTCCCTGTAAACCTTCCGATCGACGCCACATAGCGATAGACTGCAGCAAGCCCGTCACGAGCTGAGATCTGGTTCTTGGTCGCAGGAAAGCTTGCGAGCCCGACGCAGTACACGACCACTTGCTGCAATTTATTCGAGAGCTTGAAGTGCTCTTCTAGCAGCTCCTGGAACGGACGGTCAAGGTACGCGGCGATCTCTGCATCCTCATCTGTCTGACTCACCTTGTTTTGCGGCCGTTTCAGCGCACGTCCAAGCGCTAACGTCCGCTCGTTTTTGGTCTTTACGTCCTCGTGCAAAATGTGCGTCTCGCCGTAGTCAGCCACGAACTGCAAGAACTTCATCAACTGCCGTTTCTCGACCATACCCAGGAGCTTGCTCTGAAACACGTCCCGCTTCGAGCAAGGAACTTCCCACACTGTGTCATTGTAAATATCCTCCTCCTCTGATTGCTGAACGCCTAACGCCGATGGCTGAAAATGCACGTACGTGCGCTCGATCGCCGCAAACTCAAGGTACCGTCCGACACCCGACGTGATCAGAATTTCCACGAGATGCTCTGATGACAGCATGAGTCGTGGGTTCACGTCAATACTAAAGGACGACGATTGCTGCAAGAGCTCCTCCTTTACAGTTTCGTTCGCAAAGCCCTCTTCAAGCAAGTGACACCCAAATGAGCTCTTCAATGGCAGCACTCGCTGGTTCTCTGTCTCCACTGTCTTGTCAGCATTTGGTTCAACTTGTCTACTGTCCTCGTTGCCATTAAAGTTGCGAGGAGGAATAGCCTCGTTCTTTGTCCATCGGAGGAACTGACTCAACGGGAACGACGCGTAGTTGCTGCCATAGTAATCATTCTAGTAGGTCCACCAGTCAAATTAGAAAGAAAGAGTTACAATAATAGCAAAAAACACGTGATAGTAAAGACGTCAGCATCTTGACAAAGGGACACTGAACGATTCTCGCGCGGATGGCAGAGGACCTGATCCAGATGCAGCACTTTCTTCCCCACTCGAGCCAATGCCCTGTAACAAACGGCAGTACACGAATGAGCAGCGCATATTCTTCCCACACTCACTGATGGGTACATTTACACGAAACAGAGCGTCCATCCAATATTTAGTAACCCAGCCGTACCCTGCTAAAATGGCCTCGACCATGCCAGTGCCTAAAACAAGGACGTCATACTCGATCTCTTTCAAACTCGCGTCCATTAGGTACACTTTAGCACGAGTAGATGTTGTCGTCAATGGAGGGATACCGAGGGAGCGAACTTAAGCGGCCCAGCGTCAGTTCAGTATCAGACGACACGGGCAATAAAACGTCGCGTGACGCTTGTGGTGTTTGTAATTATGGATAAATTGTATCTGGCGACCTGTCATTTAGCATAGTTTTGCCAACTTTAGTGGGTAGTTGAGGAAACCACACGAGACAACAACGCAAGATAAGCAACAGACGAAAGAATAGTGACATTTTGCGCCTGGCAAAGCTGAGATCACGAAGATCGTTCCAAGTGCTTTTGGATCGATACGCACGACACGTCGATCCATAGACACAGTAGTATAGGCAATCGTGTGCTACGGACGTATGGATATGGTCGACGGATGATCGATCGATGGACATTGGCCTTTGGTGCAATCTCGACGTTTCCGTTCATAAACGGACAGTTTGATACGAGGAACGCACTGAGACTCGTTCGCCGTCGAACGTTTGCTACCGCTATCACTGGACTTGACATATGTGTCGGAAACGATCGTACAGTGTCAGTTTAGTCGAAGATAGATTCGATATATAGTTCGTGTGTGTGCAGGCAATGCACGGCGAAGTTGCTGGTGACAACTCTCAATACAGTCCTTAGTAATGGAGCGACACGAAGATTATTGTACAATATGAGAGGAGCCAGAGGAGTGCGTGTGTATGGCAAACATCGACAGCGCATGTTCGACATTGCTCGTCCCCCTGTGCGTCACCTTCTTCGTTCTCGCGGATTCAGAAAGCTCAGACATAAATCGAGATAGAAGCGGCTGCGCGACGATAGCGTACAATCGCGACACCTTTTCGTAAACAATGATGCAAACAACACCTGGGGAAGTCATGTGCTGGATGCATTCCCCTTGCACTGTACAAGCGAGCACACGTCCAACGACATCATTCCTTGATCCTTCTCATCAGTCGATTAGCAGAGGAGTGCAAGCACGTTTTGAGCTCAAACGTTGGACGTCATTGACAAAGATGGGGTCAAACGACGTTTATGTCATGGCGACTACGGTTGGCAACTGATGCCGACCCATTTCGGTGCACTGAAACAAAAATTTGAAACTTGCAGACGTCGAAAGCGTACGTACACCATCACAACTGAGTCGAAGTGCTACGACCGAGTCTCACCTCGTTTGAACAGCGTAGTCGAAATTTATAAGACTAGATGGAGATATCGTGAACAGGCGCAACCTAATGGTGTCAAGCGCGAGCACTATTGTGTAGGTGATGGCATAGCTTCAGAACACGAGCTCCCAGTTGCATGTCAACTACAGCACATCGGAATCATCAAGGTATTGTCAATGGCGGCACACATGGCATGGCGATAAGTATAGTGTGCAAAAAAGCGATTCGTTGTTTGCACACTCTTGAGCCGTCAGTGGCACATTAGCGATTGCATCAGTGGTCAAATCGCCGGCTCGACGCATCGCGGATGGGATAGGAGGCCTCCGAGTAAGACGCTTCATCAATGCGTCTCGTAGTCCATAGAACTAGAAAATGGTCGATGCAGGGAGTCTCTTCGCATGTAAAACAAACAGCTCCTGGCGTGTCGAATCTCTTCGTCTCAGGAAAAAGTGATGACGGAAGTATTGCAGCACAGGACCACTTCAACCACTGTTTAACATCGATTCGCCGTTTTGTTGCTGGAAAATGGGGATCGAGAGAACAAACAGTTGCAGCGTCATTTTGTTTTTAGCATATAATGAAATACACTTTCTTAGCATCGAAAATGCGCTGGAGGACGGTTAGCGTACAGCTTACCAAAGTGCGTGCACTTGAGTACTGTTCGCAAAAAGGGCCAATGTGATGTTCCATTTCCATTATTACAAACTCCGCACGGCCTTATACAAGTGTGTCGTCAACGTATGTCGGAAATATGCGTAACGACATCGAACTAACTGCGCCACGAAGAGATTAACACGCCACCGTAACATCTGATGACCCTTGAGGTATAACGAGCAGCTCAGAGCATACTGCTCGTCACACTAACCGCTGCAAGCGGAACATTGCTAACTCGCATAAGCAATTGATGGTAAATATCGGCCAAATTGAGTGCACTGCGAACAGCCACCGGCCATGTTGCCCGATCAAACATCATTTTTCGACTTGACGCCTATTCTGGAATTATGACCACGATATACTTGTTATACGCATCAATAACGCTAGTTGTATTTGGGTTTTCTGACACCGAGTGTCGATAAGGGGTCACCAGGGAGACATACTTTGCACCATACCTCACTATGCTTCACACAAAAGGACTGCAAATGACGTCACGATGCAATTATTGAATGAATTCGGTGTGAACAACGACGGGTACCCTTATTAGCTGCATGCGTCCACTTCTTCTTACCCTTCCGCGTAGGTGGGAAGCGTGACCTCACGAGATATGCCGGGCTTGGCAGAACGAAGAAGCGCAACATTTGCTGTTTCAGCACATCCCAAGTTGGGAAAGCATTGCATACCGACGTGCCGCACGTTAGCGCCCATTCCCTCGCCTTACCACCGAGACTACTCACTGCCAGCGCAACTCGCTGCTGCTCCGAGTAATTAAAAGCTGCGGTCATGACTATCTCGATCTCTCGCATCCAGAAAAGAAGACTGTCCTCGTCTTTTCCCGCAAAGGTCCTTACGCTATGAATGAGCAGCTCAATCAGACAGCTATCGTCGGCTGCACTAATTCCAGCAGCCAACACCTTCGGTCTCAAGGAAGCCATGATTTGTTCTACTAGAGCCGACTCACATTGCATGGATGCCTCGAGATGCACTTTTACTGCGTCCGAGCTTCGCGATGCAAGTGAGGCCATGTTCTCAGCGCCCAACAAGAGGATTAGCTTATGAAGCGCCCCTTGTTGGGTTTCCGAGAGATGAGCAAATTGCTCCATCCTCATTGAGGAGTAGATGTTAGACATGGTCGTGTGCTACCAATGCCGCGGAGCTACCACAGCTCTAGCGCCAGAGGAAGACGCATACTCAATGAGCATAGGTTCGACGAACCGAAAACAAGATAGGCTCAGTGAGTCTTTTCGCTCAAGCAGCTTGCCAGCTACAGACAGACTCTGAAGATCCCTAGTTCAGTGGGCAGTAGGCTTCGGACTCAGAGAGCCTCTTCGTTCCACGAACGACTTAGTTCAATGCAAGAGCCAAACAGCACCTAGTGCTTTAGAGTTGACTACCTTTGCAAGGCTTGTACTCCTCCTTGCTCAACTGTGAACTGATCTTTTGCACGCTTTCTTGAAAGCCGCTAAGAAAGAGCTACCTGCAAGTTTGCTATCTCGTAAACGAAGACGAAGTAAGCAAGAGAACAACGGCTGTGAAGCCTAACACCAGGTGACATACACAAGTCAAGAACATATGCATTCAATGACCATCAAGCCTTTCACCCGATTTCGAACTCAGGAGTAAGTAAATGAAAAAGTCATGGCCGTGGACTCACCCACTGGTTGAATGCGATCATTGTCAAACGCGATAATCAACACCGTACCTACCGACAAGTAACCTCCAGTACAACGCACGGGAGTCACGAAAGACGAAGCAGCAAGCGAGTGACGCAGAAGTCAAATAGTCAGTGATAAGCAATGCTGGCAGTCAGTCGATTTCTGCACCTCTCGTCACAGCGATAACGCGGTCAATGTTTTGTCACTTGTGTTGCAAGACTGGCAATATAGCCATACGTTATCGTCCTGCTGCAAGCCATCGACAGCATAACGGACGAGATGTACCCAACTAGAAAAGCAAATGCTTTTGACATGTTGAGTGGAACAGAGCATCTGATGTACTAGAACCAACGTTTGCTCCCCGAGCTGGTTCGACCTCGGTAGTTATTCAGCGCATGGTACGGCAATGAGCTCGTACATCTCTGCTGACAAGTGTGATACTTGGTGTTCCGGAACGGCCCTGCTTTAGTGGGATCGAGACAACTGCTATTTGTCCTGTGCAGCGGCTCAGCAGCTGATCTCATGTACCAAGTTCAATAACAGCCTCAACGTTCTGACGTTTGCAACAAGCGTGAGCAGGTGATGACGGCTACGTATTGCCATATATTCCATACCCTATCCTTGTAGTATTTACTTGCTCGCCAAAAGCTGTACTATTCTAGCTGATGTGATCTGCTATGTCAAGCAAGGGCCATGCTTCGTGCCTTACACTAGCAATACCTAGTAACAGTACTCCGACAACAATGTCCGCAACGCATCGCATCGCATCGTTTGCGACCTGCTGTGCATTGACAGACTGCATTGTGCGATTTAGATAGAGGGCTTGGCCAGCATTTCTTGTGCTTCGTAGCCGATGCAGCAGCTGTCTACATGCTTGCAGACAGATATAGAAGCGCATATTTGGGGTCAACATTAGCAATCCGCATCCTTCCACCTGTGTTCGCATCACAATGTGTATCACCAACTCTTCTCAATTTGAGATACATCGTCTGTTGGATGACACAAAGAACGTAGCGAGCGCTGCTTTACCGATGGGTAGCTACGATCGAAGCAACATGGCTATCTCGACGGTTATCTCACGTTCAATCCACAACGTCAGTTTCATTCACTTTCCTGTGTGTGTGTTGGCAAATCGATTCGCAGCCTGGTTGACGTTGACGTTGGTTTCGGCACGTCCGATACTACTGAAGGCTTCTCCTTGCGATCAAGCAGACCGCCAAAGCTTTGCTATGAAAGCTGCAAGCTCTTGTAAGCCTTATCGTGGTAGACGAAGGAAACACGCGCAAGCAAGCTACAATCATACAAAGTATCTAGCCCCGTCATGAGATTGGAACTTGCAAATGGGTGCTTGCTTATCTTGCATCCGCAAAACGGGCAGGATTGCAGTCGCTACGTTTCAATCAGCTGGCTACGACGGGCCCCTTGACGTCACACGATGCGATCACGCGTACGGTCGGCCAGTGATGTGCACCACGACGTTTGCATCTGACGCTGTCCATGAACCTGATCGTATCTCCTCATACAACGTCGGCATTAGCGTTGACGAGAGGCAACAAAGACCAGTCAAGGCGGGACGGAACGCCAAGAGCTCGAATGAAAGTCTCTTCCGAGCATAGCTAGAGCTGTACATGTCGACTTAACGGCCCTCGGAGGTCGAACGTCGAGCATCAGTGGGAACGGCCTTGACAAATGAGGACGGGTACACAGGACACGCGCTGTAAACAACGCCGACCCTTGCGGTTAGTTGCCTGTCTATAAGCAGAACATTGGAACACCCCACTCCATCAACTCGAACTGCAGCGGCTTAACCTCGGGCGGCTTTGTATTTGACAACCTGCAAACGTAACCTGCCAAGACGCTCTCTCTCTCTCTCTTGTCAGCTACGACCTTCAACCATAACTCTACAGGATAGCGACAATGGCATTGCCCATACCGACCAAAGTGGCCAGGACGCCGAGGCCCCAGCAAACGCCTCGGTGCGGCTGCATCGCGTGGGCGTACACGTACGTGTGGAGGCACCGGACGACCGTGAAGCCAATCATGGCACTCGCGTGCACCGTGGGGTTGCTACCGACCAGGACGCCACCTCCAAAGACAAAGAGGGCAAACGGAATGGATTCGAGATCGTTGCTCACGATTCGGCCCCAGCGGTGCTCCGCCTCTCGGGCTTTGAGCACACTTTTGTCGTCCGTGTGGTCGAGACCGTACGTCTGTTTTCGGCCTTTGCCGATCGTGTCGGCGAGACTGAGGGCCGCATCTTCCGGTGGCCGACCGCCCGATCGGAACTTCTTGTCGCCTTGGACGGCTGTCGCCAGGAGGAACTTGAGGTACAGTACCGAGCTACAGGCGATGTAGACCTTGACGTTCGAGTCGAGCATAGCACTTTGAATGGCTGCGGGGGTTTCGATTGTGAGACGTGCGACGAGAGGACGGAGAAGAAGAAGAAGAGTTCGAAGAAGGAGAGAAAATCCATTGGACCTGCTGCGAAGGTGAGGAGGAAGTTGTTGGCGTACGGCAGCCACTATTCTCGGGTCGGTCCCCGATTCGCATAGCTGGACACAGAGAGGCCAACGTATCACGAACGTCTCGGGTGGTACCTATGTCGGGCATCACCTCCCACTCGACTGACGCTAATCGGCATTGCCACTGTGTAGCTGCAGACTTTTGCCGCTGCTGCATCTGATGCTATGCGTGCGTGCGACTGTTTGCCCAAGATATGAGGTCGAACGACTCGTCATCATCGCTAGCAAAAAGGACCTCCGACGCATGCAAAAGTGCCATTGCCAAAGGCATTCCGTCTGCTGCTGCTGCTCCTGCACTCGATCTCGTGCTTGTAAGTCGCTATTTGCATCGTCAAGAAAGTCGCACCACATTGTTCCTCGGAGCGGAATGGGCCCTGTCGTCGTCTCGTTGAGACCATCAGGTGTCTTGACTGCAACTGAGCTCTTCGATGCCGTCTCGTTACATGTCGCATAACACGCGTTGAAGCCATGTTCATGACGATTGGCCGATAGGTCTTTCTCGTTGTTGCACCCATGCGGCGCAAGCTGCTGCCGGTCGTAGTGTAGCCATATGACGTGGGTCGATCACCACCACGTGCGACTCGCGTGGCGTCGGCTTCGATATGTACCGCACACCAACCACTCGTGGCCAGTCGTTCTCCCGTTGTAGCCATTCGAGCCGCCAACATGTCGCTGGCCGGGCTGGACAAGAACGTGTTCAAGAAGACGCTGGCGGTCGTTGGAGTGCGCGTCGAGGCCAAGAAAATCGGTGCCGTGATCAAGAAATTGCACGGCCACTTGCTCAATCTGCCGCGGCTGCGGAACGTAGTGCCCGACCCGATTCAAGCGGACCCGCACAAGAATGCCAGCAGCAAACTGATTCTGCTCGAGACTGACGTGAAAGATACCGAGACGTTGCAGCCACTGGATGAGGAGATTGTGAGCTTTTTGAAGCAGGAGAGTCTGGCGATTGTACGGCATGCCATTGAGCTGGACTATAGCTACTTTGCCGTGGACCAGGTGCTCAGCGAGCTGTTGCCAAAAGGCATTGACATCCCCAGCTCGTTCGAGACGGTCGGACACATTGCTCACTTGAACCTGAGAGACAGGCAGTTGCCGTACAAGCGTGTCATTGGGCAGGTCATTCTGGACAAGAACGCCCAGATCCGGACGGTGGTGAACAAGACGGAGAACATTGAGACCAAGTTCCGCACGTTTCCAATGGAAGTCTTGGCTGGCGAAGACAACATGGACGTGGTGGTGCATGAGAGCAAAGCGACGTTCAAGTTCAATTATGCTGAAGTGTACTGGAACTCTCGACTGCAACAGGAACATCTGCGGATCATCCGTTGTATCAAGCCTAGTGACGTGGTGTGCGACATGATGTGCGGAATCGGTCCGTTTGCGATTCCAGTGGCCATGAAAGGTGCCAAAGTGTATGCAAACGACTTGAACCCGCGAAGCTATCATTACTTGAAAGAAAACATCGCGCTGAACAAAGTCGACGAGTTGGTGACACCGTACAATCTGGACGGCCGTGTGTTTCTGGCGCAATTACTGGATGAGAAGCAGCAGTTTACACATGTGCTAATGAACCTTCCGGCTATTGCGCTCGAGTTTCTCGATGCGTTTCCACGACAGTTTGATCACTGGGAAGGCGAGCTGCCCTTCATTCACTGCTACTGCTTTTCGAATGCTGCAGATGTGGAAAAGGACGTGAAAGAGGTACGAAACTGCGTCTCTCGCTTGCTCCCTATCTCTCTCGTTTGTCGTCGTCTCTTGCTCGATAGTCGATCAGTCTGTGCTCATCAGTTTTGTGTACGCTCCATGCCGTTTGTAGCGCGTCGAAACGATCATGGGCGGTGAACTGGACTTGGACAGGACGTCGGTCCATCATGTGCGGGACGTGGCACCCAAGAAAGCTATGGTCTGCATCTCGTTCCAACTGCCCGAGTCGATCGCATTCAGCTCGGAGCGTCTGGCAATGAAACAGAACGATCTAAAGCGGCGGAAGGTGGAGGCTGAGACTTTGGCTTGATCAATGTTTTCGTCGCGGCCTCGGCGGCTGTACGCGAGGAATGGCTCAGTCCCGTACTTCTGGCTGCAACATTTCGTGCATATTGGATAGCCGTGAGACCATAGAATCTAGTGGAAAGCAGTCACGGGTAATCGATTGCCCACGCAGCACGTTTCGTACTTGGCAGCTCATTACGGTTGTAGCACCTGCACAGATTCCATGCAATTGCAGAGACGTGTGGTGCGTTTGTGAGTCAACGAGCTTCCAGATACTTTATGTATGGTGCTCATGTGACCATTTGACTCAAACGAGTATCGACAACGTCGTCGAGAGATTAGTTGGGGCAAAATGGAGAAGTACGTACCCGTCCTTCTTGACTCATAATGGTCGAAAACTCTCTTCTCTACTCACATCGACAACAAATACCCATACAAAGCTATTGAACTACGAACTGCAGGACATTCAAGTCAAGGTAGACCATTCAAGACAATCCACGATTGCATTTATGGGTTAGATTGCCTTGTAGCGTCGATATGTCTTTTACAACGTGCCGTGCGCCCGAAACCCTCGGATTTATGTGTAACAACATCTTTACGTACACCACACGAGCAAATCGCTGTCGAATATCAGCAGAAACGCTAGTTGTATTTACAAACAAACACAGTCTGTCGCAGCAGCGAGTCACCTGGTCGTTTATACCAGCAGAAACCACGCAATGCACCCAACAAGCGTCCCAATCACTTTAGCTGCAAGGTTTTATCTTCCCCTACTCCTGTCACCCAGAGCCACCTCATGTTCACAGACGAGCCGAACCACCGCCGCTCCTCGTTTGACTCCCTGGAAGTCAAAGCCTCGTCACCAGTGACCCACTCCCCATCCTCGAGCTGCCTCAGCGGCCACTCTCGTATCCGCCTATGGCAGCCCCCGCGCCGCCGCACGGGCTCGCGCTGCTCACGCCACCAGCACCAGCAACTGCCTCACCTGCTTCCATCCGCGTTGGACTTGCTGCCGCGTCACTCGTGTATTCGATCGACGGCCGCTACGTCTTCCAGCGTCAAGGCGCTGTTGTGCGGGTGCTGCATGGGGCCAGCGGGCGCGTGTTGCACGAATGTACACGTCCCCACTCGGCCAGCTCCGTCTCGGCCATTGCTGTGCACCCACAGACTCCTTCTCAGCTCCTTGCCGGGTACGAAGATGGCTACATACTACTGTGGGATTTTCTCGCCCAAGCAGTGCGACTCAAAAGTGACCTGGGCGGACCCATTTTGTGGATGGCTACAAGTCGCTCGAGCCCATCGCAATTGGTGGCTGTCGTGAAAAGCCCAAAGCGCCACTGGTCGCTGCTGACGTACAGCCTCAAGCACAAGAAACGCGGCCGCGTGTTCGTGCAGTCGCCCACGGCGTTCCATACTGCAGCGCTCCAGAGCTACGTCCAACGTCCAGACGACGTTACTGCCACTGCTGCTGCTGTAACAACAGGGGACTATATTGTGCTTGTCGCGGGCCGCAGCCTTTTCACGGGATGGCTACATTACGACCCACGGACGCCTGTGGTCGTAGCGCCGCAGTTTGAGCACGTGCGGGACGTGACGTGCATTGCCATAAGTCCCGTGCGCGTGGAGTTTTCCATTGGCGACTGGGAGGGACAGATCTTTCGGTACGATCAGCACGCGCTGAGCGAGAACCAGTCGGCTGCCCAACTGCATTGGCACGCGCACGCAGTGCACTGTCTGCAGTACTCGACGGACGGTCAGCACTTGCTGTCGGGCGGCGAAGAGTGTGTGTTGGTGACGTGGCAGCTGGAAACAGGGCGACGGACGTACTTGCCGCGTCTGCCAGCCCCGGTCGAAGAGATTGCACCGCGGCAGGAAGGAGGCGTGTACGTTGTGGGGCTTGCTGATAATGTGCTGTTCCAGTACAATGCCGTGACGCGGGAACAGGAGTGGGAAGCGCGCGGACTGGCGCGTGCTGGTGGATCGGCGGCTGAGTCGCTGCCCATGCGGCAAGTGGCAGTCGACCCGATCTCGAAGGCACTGGTGATCAACGGCTCGTCGGGTGCTGGGGTCTTGCAGTTCTACGAACCATTTGCTGACCGTGTGTTGCAGACGCTAGTGCTCTCGGAACGCAACCAAGTGACACGTACGAATGACGAAGTGATGCCGACACTGCTGGCGTCGCACGCACGCTTTAGCTTTCGTGGTGGTGACCTCGTGACGCTTCATGCGCCGACGACCGCGGACGCTGGCAACGAACAGGCTCTGCGCTTTTGGACGCGTCGTGTGGACGGGTCATTTTTTGTCAACACGTCGGTGGACGCCCCTCACGGTCGGGCTCGTGTTACGAGCGTGGTGTTTTCTCCTACAGCTGACGGCGACTGTGTTGTGACTGCTGATACTCAGGGCGATTTCAAAGTCTGGCAGAAAGTAGCAGCCGAGGCAGGTGGTGTCTCGTGGCTCTGTCAATCCGTTGTTCGCTTCCGTGATGAACCAGTGACGGCTGTGAGTTTTGCACGTGATGGCTCGCTACTTGCCGTGGCGTACGGCAACAAGCTTACGCTGTGGGACGTTGCCACGCACTCTTTGCGTCGTGTGCTTTCTTCCGCGGACGGTCAGCCGGTAAAGCAGATCATGTTTCCAGGCGTCAATCTGCCTTACGTTGTGGTGCTGACGGACACCCAGCTGCAAGTATGGAACCTGTTGTCGCTGTCGCTTTGGTGGCGCTATAATGTGCCAAAGGGTACTGCTGTGGCCGAGGAGGCACTGCATGAACGCTTTTTGATCTGGATGCCTGTGGGTGAGAGGGAGAGCAAGAAAACGTTGCTGCTCGTGTTTGATCCGCAAACACCGGTGCCAACGTGCATACGTGTTGTCGATTTCGACAGTAAGGTGTGGGCCGCTGGCTTCCACGCTGGCACTGGTGACATTCTCCTCATTGATGACAAGACGGGTGTCTGGAGACTGGATGGACTCGATGCCAGCTCTTTGGACGCAAAGCGTCGCAAACAGGCGTACGTTGCTGCCGTTGCAGCAAGTGCTGGCTCCAAGAGTAGCGAAGAGGGTATCAAAGCATTGAGCACGATGTATGACAAGTCTGCCAGTCGCAGCAGTCGTCTGTTACAGAAGAAGAGCGGTCAGAGCACATACGACCACCACAACGGTGCAGTTTCGAATGGATCTGCGTCTGATAGTCTCTTTGATGCACCCGCACACGTCCTGCCGTCAATGACGGCGCTGTACAGACCTTTCATGGATACAATGCTGCCAAAGCCGCACCGGGTCGACAAGAGTGGCGATGCGTCCATGAACGTCAACGGCGAAGCAGGCAGTACACACAAGAAGAAGAAGAACAAACGGCGCAAGAAGCAGCTGGAAGCACAACAGCAGCAGCAGACTTCGGCTGATAGTTTGGTTCACGAAGACGGAGAACAGCGCAAGCGCATAAAGTGTCGGGTTGAACAAGAATTGGCGAACTCGGAGTTGCAGCAGCGGACGTACTCGAAGTTACTGGAGACTTTCCGCAAGAGTAAGGCGCGTCGAGCGTAACGCTTTGGCAATGTCAGGTGTAATAGACTTGTTACATGTTCTTAGGTCCCTTGCTGCGTCGCTCTTGAGCTGTATGGTGCTCGTGCTTGTGAATGTACGGCTGAAAGCAGCGCGTTGGGCATCGAGCACTTGAACGTCGTGGTGAAGCACCAGCATCCAGCTGCTTAAGTGACAAAAGTGATGGAGCAGCGATACTGAAAATGCTGCAAAGATTGGATCGGATGATGTTGCACTCTTTGCAAGCGACTGCTATTCTCGTCGCTGTCGTGCAGTCCGTTACCGGCATATCGTTGAGCTTTGCTGCATCACCGAATATGTTGTCATGCAGTCCAGTGCTTTCCAGGAAACATGTGATATCCCAACATGCGTCACCTGCAGTTGTTGTTTTGTTGATGCATGTGCGTCTTGAACTTGGAAGATGTGTCACTTGGTCCACGGGTAGTGAGGAGAGACATCGACGTCGCATCTTTTCCGCATTGGTGCAGCTTGCAACTCGTGCTTGGTACAAAGGTTTGCCATTGCCTTGTTCTCATCTTGACTTGCTGCGTCTGATGTGACGCGTACCGATCAACGCCAACGTCAGTGGTGTAGCTAAACTCACGTGAGAAAAAGCGACATGTCATTCGCCATGTCATAGCAATTCAAGTTTGTGTAAATAGCAGATGTACGTTTCTCGGCTCGAACACGTACGTGGTGAAGAAAGCTCTGGCAGGATAGTCCATGTTCGGACGGTCCATGTAGCCACTACGCAGCGTCATGACGCGCAACTGGACTATTCTCGTGCAGCATCTGGGAATCACTGAAGTTGCAACCGTCGATCGGGCATCATTCGGATACAAATGTATCGCACCATAGCGTTATGGTCCGCCCGAGAAGTAAATGTCCTTGAAGATATCGCCCGAACTTGATCTCAACGTGACAAACACTTGAGCGTTGATAACAAGACGACAGCCGAACAACAGCATCGTCCTTTGACAACAATTAGTCGACATCAAAGAGAAGAGCGCAGCACCAAACTTACCTGCCATCGCATATCCTTCTTTTGGACCAGTCTCGTGTGCACATGAACTTTCAGTTCACTCGCCCAAAAGTTGAATTGAAGCTCGAGTGTTCTCTTCGATACACACGGACACGGGTATGCACTCGGTGTCGGTTGAGCCAAACACTTACCCTTAGCTCAGGGCAAAAGAGCAGCTGTAGCGTTCTTGCGATAAAGGATGACCGCCATGTTTTCACTGGCCACGTCAAACTCGGCAGTCGACGAATCGATATCAACTGGGAAGACAGCAACGTGCAGTTCATATTCCTCCTGGCTGCTATCCAAAAAGTGCAGGCGCAGCGAAGTGGTCGACGGGAATGCAAGTGTCACGCTTGATGACTCAATGCCAGCCACGCCAACGATGTAGGACAGACACTGCGAAGTCACGTGAGCCTCACACGGCGGTTCGATGGGGTCCACGGGCCTAAGCGTCGCTTCGACCGGCATTGTCGACACGTTATGTGACGATGTCGAACTTGCAGCGGAAGTGTTTGTTGCACGAACCACATCTTTGTGACAGCAGTTCTCAAGCGGTGGCGTAGACGCCACATTTTCATGAGTGCGTGTGGCGGACTTGTTTTTTGCAGCAGACGACAGAGAGGTGACGGGAACTGGACTTTGTGTCTGAATCGTCTGCTGCTCGTATGCAATTGTTTGCGGGTCGTTTGCAGTGACCAAAGCCCACTCGTGCAGAATGCGAACCTTTTGCCCACCCTCCATCTTTTGCTCTGATGCGAGCGCGTCACTGCTCTTTGTTTCGTCATGCGACAACTTCCTTTCCCTGCTTGCTGCTTCAGCCTGTTTCTCGTCATCGTCATCTTGGATGACAAGCGAGACAAAGTGTGGTTTCGGCTCTTCTGGAGGCTGCACAGGTAAAGTGACGACCACTTCGTGTCGTTTGCGGTCAAACCTGGCACTGCCGTTACTCTCGATCACCGGGAACGGTAGCGCCAGCTCTAGTGGTTCGTAGTCACTGGGAACGCTAGAGTCCGCTGACAGTCGCAGCATTCGCTCACTCACATGCAAGTTCAGTCCCTCGGCACTGTTCGTAGCAGGTAAACTTACCGTCACCACCAATTCTTTCGGACGATACAGGTCGACAGAAACTTGGCTGCCTGAGTCCGCTTGTGCGTGATGAAGAGCCTCGTAGTGGCCACTGTAAGTGAATCGGTGCTCCATCTTCTTCTTCTGCTGCACCTTGTCACACGGGTCCTTTACATCTGACTTCACCTGCACTTCTTCCTCTTCGAACAAGGTACTTCCATCTACACGTCCTTCACACATCAATTCGTTCTGCACAACGTCATCAGCACAATCACTCGCCGCCTCGATCAAACGAGACGACTTTGTGTCCTCATTGTCGCGATCTACAATGGCTTTTGCCGCAGTCGACGTCCGCACATCACGCACTCGCTCGAGTGGTCTCGATATTGACACTTCACGTTCGTCTGTCAAACTCATTGGGTTCGGACGACCCGACTTGTACTGGACACCACGAAGCACATGGCAGTTCCGATCCAGCATTGCAGCAGCGTTGCATCCCGAGTGCTGCAGCACTATTTCAACTGCCTCAAAGCACTTTGATATAACCAGTGGGCCTCTCGGATCCAGTCGATCGACTGCAATTGTAGCCACTTGAGGATGCACACAGACATCGACTGTCGGCACCCCAGCACCGCGTTGGTCCTTCTCAAGTCGTTTCGGACCCACACAGAACGAAAACTGCCACGAACACGCACTGTGCTGCGACGTACTACGGATCGTGTCGTCTCTTGATAGGGGTCGCAATCTTGAACTCGTACAGATATTGATAAAGACCTTGTGCTGGACATCCCACTTGGTCTTCAACACGAAACCTACTGCCGGTGTCACACTGTACGCGTTCGTAGGTCCTTTTTCCTGGTTCACTGTATCTATTGGGTCCACTGCATCGATCTCCCGGTCGCTCTGACGCGAACTGTCCTGGATGTACCCATTTAGAATCGACCGAAGATCGATCTCTGTCGTACCTGCGAGAAACAGTTGCTCTAAACGTGAGTCTTTGGCAGTTGTTGACGTTGCGTGGACCTCATCTTCGTAGCTGTATTTCGGTGCTGTCACTGGAGTTGCGATTGTTGTTGGGGTCGTACTGGTGCCTGAAGAAGAGGACAACGACTGGAAGTCGGTCGTCCTGCTGTTTGTCGCCATGCGATTGATGATGTGCGTGATCAGAGCTACTCGGCCTTTCGTGTATGCGATTGCACAGGGAATTAGTATTGACAGGTTATGCAAACATGCGTAAGTAAGCAAGTTGAGGTCCGAGCGAACGATGGTGTAGCCATTTTGAAGCACGCACGTGGACGAAAACGAGGTACTGGTTAGTCTAAACGACAGTGTAGCTATGAGGCAAATGTGTGTATTGAAGCAACGGGTTGTTGAAGTCATGGAGGGAGCGATAGGTATGTAGACAGCAGTGACGGTCGTTCCACACATGATAAACGATGAAGAACTAGATACGACAATGACGTGAAGAGCGTCCGTTCCAGTGGTGGCCTTGCATCCTTGCACCGCACAGTCCTCGAACGACGTGATAGTCACTCGTACCGTATCGACACACCTTCACTTGACACTTTCAGCCACTGGTTCGATCGTCTCCCCCTCTCGTTTCGTTCCATCCTTCGTCTTCTTTCTCTCTCTCTCTCTTTTTTTTCTCTAGTCCCCCATCGTGTTGCGCTTGACTATATAGACCTGTTCTTCATCCAGCGTCACTACAAAGTCGTGCGTCGGGAACGTGACTAGCACATGCACCCACAATTGTCAGCACAAACAAGTCAAACGTTGCAAACCTCGTTCGATACACCCTATAAAACAGTGCGTGTATCGATCCACCGGCAAAAAAACACAATGAAACAAACAGATCAACAGACGTACTGATCATGCGCTGCAGCTCTTCCTTCTGACTCGTGTCCAGCACACTGCTCGAGTCCTGCAGCATCGAGTAGATCGTCTCTGCTACGATCTCTCCAGACGTGCCGCAGAGTTCGCCCGTAGCTGAGAGGACTTGGCCCAAGACGCTGAGCACCAGTGTGCCCGTCTGATTAGGAACCGTTCGCAAGGCGCCAGCGTCCTGTGTGTCAAGTACAGCGCAATCACACGAGTGAGCAGTCCATCACATGTAGTAGAGAAAGCAATGAATGTATGTGCGTTGAGAGTATAGCGAAAGATGCAGTAGTGATGGAGACAGAGAGCTTTGAAAAGGCCGCGCTGGACGGGAGCACGCACCATGTTTACCACGCGTTTGGAAGTGGCAAGGTAAAGTGATGTGGAGCACATACATGTCGGGAAAGCAGAGATGGGTACATCTTGCAAGATGGATACACTGGGCTTGATGGCTACATGCACGACGGCTACATTTACGAGCGTCAGTAGTCTGCTTGACGCGACAAAGTCTCAAGAGGTCATTTGGGCACCACGTTACAGCAGCTTGCGCGGTCTATCCGCAGTAAGCGTATTGATTAGAGGACTGCATTTTGTGTCGTTCATTTAAAACGATACAAGGCGTTGTTCTGTGCAATCCACCCGAGGACACGTGCAAAGTGAAGTAGGGCTAGACAGTTGATGGTGGACATCTCGCGTGCTCATAGCGGAGTGATCGTGAGTGCAGCTATGTTACTGTTGACCTACGTACGATCCTGTAGTGATGCGAAGACGGATGAACAACAACTACGGTACGAACATTCCACAACACTCGTGGCAAGCTACCAAGAGTCCAAGACAGGCGGCCGAAAGCCGTGCGTCTTCTTGCGGCTACACTGTGGCACAGGCTTTTGCTGAGAGTCACCCATGCTGGACGTGTCACATTCGTTCGTAAGTCGCCATGGCACGCCGCCCAGTACGTGTCTAGTGCAGCTAGCAAGCGTCTATTGGCTAAGATCAGTTGAAGAGGTGGTGCTTGTCACGCTTGCGCTTGCGCATTTTCTTCTTGGCAACGTCAATATTGCGCTCTTGCCACTTGCTCTTGCTCAACTTGACAGGCCGGTTGCCGATATATTTGCCGTTCATTTCACGCAAAGCCTTGGCACAGTCGAACGGGTCTGCGAAACTCACAAAGCCATACCCGCGCGACTTGTGCGTCAACTTATCTCGCACTACACGTGCCCGTTGAAACGAGGCGTACTTTGAAAAACTGTGGGCAAGGAGCTCGTCACTTACTTCGTTCCCGAGATCGCCACAAAAGAGACGAAAGTCATTGTCCGGCCAGTCCTCAAGCGTCTGGTCTTCCCACACCTTACCACCAGCAAGACGCACATGACGTTTCTGCGTCTTCACTCCAGTCGGTGGCCCACGTGCTTCTCCCTCCTTCTTTGGTTGCACAGCAGCAATACTTGCTGCAGTTCTCTTCGGATCGTACTCGTACACACTCTGCTGTCGATTCATCATCTCTTGCTCTTCTATGGACAGCACATTGCCCGTGTCCATGTCCACACGAGGCTGCAGCGATCTGTACTCGGTCATAGACCCGGTACTGGAGCTTTTCGAGGCTACAACCGCAGCATGTTCACCCGTTGTGCCAGCTGGGAAGCCACTCAGTGCTCCTCGATGGGCTGCCACATCTTCTAGTGTGTTGAGCATCCTCGGACGTCCATCCAGTACTTCTGTACTGTCTTCAGCAATCTCTTCGACGTTCTGCGTCTTTTTCACAGGTACCGGACGAGGTGGAGCCATGTAGATCGTGGATGTAGCCATGACCTTGTGCTTTTTTGCCCCTGGAGTAGCCATTGCGTCCGCTTGCGTCGTTCCTTTCGCACCAGAAATCTCCTGAGCATTCTGTTCCGTCTCTTCGACCAGTTCACGTGTGTGTTCGCTCGTTGTCTGCTGCTCGAGCGACTGGATCTCGGCTTCAAAGCGGGCAAACTCATCGTCCAGGTCGGTCATGGCCGTCCGTGTGTCTGTGTGTGTCGTCTTTGTGCACTTTTCACTGGACAAAACTCGCGTCGCTCATCGAGTTCGTGATTGGATGAAACTACAGACCCGACGCTGTCATCGCATTGGCTAGAAATGCTCGTGGCGACTGTGTCCATTGGGTGGAAGGCAGACAGATAGATCAACGAGAGCTGCTCGGGAGCGATGGACGACATGGACTACGACGACGGCGGCCATCGCGATATGGACGACGACGAGGTCCCGGAAGACGAGATGGACGACGAAGTGCCAGCGGAAGACCTGTTCGATGGCGCAGACGAGACGGGCAATGAAGACAATAAGCTCCAAGTGCTCGACGAGTCGCACAAACAGCCAAACGCCAATCGGATCACGACGCGGTACATGACAAAGTACGAACGCGCGCGTGTATTAGGCACACGCGCGTTGCAGATCTCGATGAACGCACCAGTGATGGTGGACATTGAAGGCGAGACGGACCCGCTCAAGATCGCTATGAAAGAGCTGCGGGAACGCAAGATTCCCATCATCATTCGGCGCTATCTGCCCGACAATTCGTTCGAGGACTGGAGCATCGATGAGCTTATCATTGAATAGAGAAGACGAGGGATAGGAAAAGGCGAGAGCGGTGCAGGGAGGGAGGAAGAAGGGAGAGGGCGAGGCAGGGAAGAAGCTGGTTATATACTTTCGTACGTACGTTTGCTTGCATGTGCGTACATTGTTCTCCATCGACCACACGGCTCGTATTTTGACACGGTCGCGATCGTGGCATGACGGTAGCTACGAGCTGTGTCCAACAGAAGCGTCTTCATTGCTTGCAGGACCAGCTGCAATCGTCCGCCACCTGATTGTGACGCTGTCGGTCGTTTCCAAGTCGACTTGTATGTAGTTTGTGGAGACGAAGAGTCGTTGCTGGGTGCTGTAACAGCACGTGGTCCTACTCACGCTGGCGTTTCGAGCACGTGCTGTTGTCTTGTCAAGCTCTTTGTGGTCGTCAGCGATTGAGAGAGCTTGAAGTGCATCCACAGCTGGTACCAACTGTCTTGCCGTATGTCGGAATAGAGATTCACGCTTTGCAGCACGAAAGAACGCCTGACGTGGGACAATATCAAGACGCGTCCGTCGCTTGGTCAGGCACTTATGGCCCTGCTCGTCATCTCCAGTGTACCCATCTTGTATCGGAAGTGCTCCACACAATGTGCAAGTCGCTTGCAAAGCTCACGACTTTCGTCCAATGAGCGGCCGCCATCGACCCCAGCAGACGCGTCCATGGCTACGAGACGCCTTGACCTGGTCGAAGTCTTTGAGTGCGAAGGTACCGTAGGCTTCTTGCGCGCGAAACGTCGTTTCGACTTCTACATCTACAGCGATAACAGTCTTCGAGTACAGAGTGGACGAATCGCATCTGCGGCTCACAACTCCGGCGCAAAACGCAATCCAAGAGCTCGTGATACAATAAATCATCACATAGTACAAGAAGAAGAACAGACAGAAGAGGTGGAAAAGGTAGAAGATGATGATGATGATCAAGATGGTCGCGGCAGGCGACAAGATGGAGGCAATGAGGAATTGGTACAAGACGATCGAGACGCTGTGAATGAAGCTATGGCGTTGCCACGTGAGGAGCTACAGGACCGAATGGAAGCTGACAGTGCAGAAGATCGCGAGGATATTCAGGTGCGAGCGTACGACGGACACGCAATTGAAGAAACAATTGGCGCTACATGTCAGCAACGAGGCTTTGTCGTGGACTTCAAGCTTGTTACATGGGAGCGGCGAGTGCACAATACGTGGCTGTCGCAGGCCGTCCAATGCCGCGCCCACCTTTCGATCGAGCATGGTATCTCGGGGCAGTTTGTGAACATGCAAGATAGCGAAGAAGCGGCGCAGGACTTTGCGTTGCGACTCGTGCGTCATCGATTCGAGCCACTGGAGCAAGCAATGTACCCATTGACGCCGGGACGGTACCGATTGTACGGCATTACGATTGCAGAGAACGCGTTCGTCTATGAGTGTGCTGTGGAACTGACGCTGGAAGCAAATGGTAAGGTCTCGGGCACGTCTCGCGAGCTACCGTTTGCGCAAGAGTGTGCACTGGGTGGTACGTGGACGCGTCGCACGCTCAACTACTTGCTGCGGTACGAGATGCACGGCAATCAGCACACGTACGTGTATTACGGTACTGCCACGCGCTCGGGGGTCCACGGCACATGGCAAAACGCCAAGATACCAGTACTGCTCACCCACCTCGACACCACCACCCGTCAAGCCGAGTGTGGCCTTCTAGCATTCGAACTCACAAGTGCTGTTCGAGTCTGGAGCGAGGCGTACCACAGCGACTACCCAGCAGCTTTCAAAGCGTGCGTCAAGCTGCTGCTGCTTGCATCGTCTCGTGATCCTCGTCTCCTGCCGTATCCGTTGGTCCGCGCGGTCGCATCCTATTGTGGGTACAACTGGTTTCGCATGGACGTGCACACCAGCAACGGCACAACGGACTAACTCAGCTCGACGGAACCTAGAACGAAAACGAGAGCCGAGTATAGGTTCACCTCATGTAGCCATGTACCAGTCTCTCTCTCTCTGTAGATCGCTTATAGCCTCTTTGTTGATCCACTCGTCGATACAGTGGCATCCATACGTCCCTAGGAGCGCTCGGTTCTCTAGCTCGTCCTTGAAACAGTCCCAGCGCAACAGCGACATGTCCCGGTGTGGCTTTGCTCAGACAGAAAAAAAGAAAAAGAAAAGACGCCACTGCCCTCAAACGTCACACTTTGACTTTCACCGGCGCGAGCACACGACGGACTGTCTCGTCCCGCGGTCGCTCCCTCGACGCCCATGTGCGCTGTCCCACTGCGTCTCGACCGCCTTCTCGACGGCAACTTCTCGGGCCAGTGCCCGTCCGTCTCTGGCCCACCCCGTCGCCTATTGCTGACCATTTCAGCCGACGGACTCGTGCGTGGCACTGTGTTTGCTGCCGAAGCCGTTCCCTTCCTCGAAACAGACCGTGTCGACAGTAGTCCCGTGCGACTTGTAGACGGCGGCCGACGAAGAGAAAGGGGACGCGTCGTGGCCGACGTGATGGGCACTGCCCACCTCAGGCGGACAGACGAGACACTGGACGCGTCCACCGTGAAGCCCAACGGGAACGCAAGCGCAGCTGAGGATCGCTACTATTGCTGTCTCGTGCACGTGGTGACCACTGGACGACCGCAAGTTGCCGACCCGTGCGCCCGAACGTGCCACCTGCACGTGCCCTTTGCGTCGGACGCACCGGCTATCGGCACGTGGCAGCTTCGGCGCCATAGCCGTTGGCAACGCGACGTGCACCAGCAGTTGCCTCAAGTGAAGACAGCATCAAGTCGAGGATCGCTACTGTCGTGTACGGCGTTGCAGGGGCTGAGGACTGCAGCGTCGTCGTCAATGGCGTTGCAGGGGCTGAGGACTGCAGCGTCGTCGTCAATGGCGTTGCCCGAGTTTTGCACGGCAGAAACGTTTCAGCTCGTGCCCGTGCAGTGCCCACGTCAAGCAGCAGCAGTAGCCGCAGCAGTGCTACCAGTGGACAATGGACCAGAGAGGAGGGAAATGCCGCTGCGGCCGGGCAAGTACGAGTTCAAGGGGTTCACCACAACGTTTGGGCCGGTGGCAGCGGTCCCGGGAACGAGGAACGGCCGGCGAAGTCGCTACGGTGCCCTTGGGACGACCCGTGCAAAAGACAACTGCCTCGTTACGCTGTACTTGCAAGCGGACGGTACAGTGCACGGCACGTCGTGTGAAGTCGCGCAGCCACAAGTGTGTCGATTGACTGGACGCTGGAAGGCGAACCGCATTGCGTACGTGCTCGAGTACCGCGTGCGGGAAGCTGTGGGCCATTTCCGCTACTCGGGGGCGATCGCGATGAAGCCCCGGGCGACGCTCACGGGTCGATGGCACAATGTCGACAAGGGTCATGTGGACGGGTACCAGGGCGGGCGCGGCACGTTTGAGCTCGAATTGGTGCGCGTGGACCTCTTACCGATCGCAGTCAAGTGGGAGAAGAGCGAAGAGGCGCGTACGCGGCCATCAGATTGTCCTCACGAGCAGGTACACCTCCTGAAGTACAGCGTCGGCAGCAGCAGCGACTTGGCCATTGATCTCTGTGACGACGACAATGCGATCCAAACATTCACGTCAGGCGAGTACGAGCTGTCTGGACGTGCGATCGACGCCGATGGCTACGAATATGCCTTTGATCTGAAGCTGAAGCTGTGTCCAGATGGCAAACTGCTCGGTCAATGCACCGAGCGCGTGTTCCAGCAACTGAGCCCCATCTCGGGGCATTGGGACCCGACACATATCGTGTACGACCAGCAGTACGTCGTCAAGGGCGAAGTGGGTTTGTACACGTACACGGCAGCCATGAGCTGCAACGGCGTCTTGGTCCAGGGCACGTGGGTCAATGCCGAGGCCGAGTTGGCTTCGGCTTCCAGTGAACACGGCACCTTTGGACTCATTGTGCTGCACTCGACTCGACGGTGGAGCACTTCAAGTCATTCCCGGTATCCGCCGCGATTCCGGCGCGCCGTGTGGACAACTCTGTTGACATCTGCGCGACGGAACATACTCCCGGGAGCAGTCTGGGCGCACATTTTCTCGTTTTGCAGCGAGACGTGGTTCACGGCGCCCAAGGAACCGCTCCGGCAGCCATTGCAAGTAGCTGTGCCGTTCAACATGCTGACCTGCAGCCCGTTTGGCGAACCTCCGCGTAAACGGTGCAAACACGCGGCATAGATCAGTGTCGAAGAGCTTCGTGCTGGAAAGACTTCAATGTCCTGGAAACACGTATCGATCTGCAACGGACAACACGAAAGCAAAACAAAGCACTCGATATCTTGTCGTCAACACGTCGCGTTACTGTGTTATTACCATGGGAGGAACGAGGGACATGCAACACTAGTAGACAAAGACCTCTGCTGTGTGTGTGCGTACACTAGAGCTCTCTTTGCCATCCACTTTGTGCACTCGAACCCTTGTGCCTTGCTCGTTCGAACAACTATAGCAAAAGGCTCTGCTTGCTGTCCCGTGGTCACGATCCGTTGTTAACCCATAAAGTTAAACACGACGAGGAACAGGATGAGGTTGCAAAAGAGGTAGTCGGCATACGCGCGTTGCTCCGTGCGGTCTTGGAAGTTGTTGGTCGGGTTGATCTGCATACGCAGCGACACTGTATAGTGTCACGTATGACAAATCAACACATGCACGAAAAGAGCATACAGAAACACCATAATGGCAAACAACGACATCGAAAACGAAAAAAGAAAAAGCAACAATTTGCGTGAGTAAAAACGTTTCAACCGGTACGGAAACAAGAACCCGTCTGCCACAGCGCACGTAGCGTGTGCGTGTCCGTCGTGGCAGTATAGTTAACAAGAGGGAACGACGAGAAACTAACAGCACGCACCGGCGAGCACAAAGACGCCGACAGTGCATACGAAGCCCGCGAGGAACGAGTTGAACGGGAACGTGCCCACCAATACGCAGTAGAGAAACTGCAGTACACCCGTTGCCAGGACGTAGGCAAGAAAGCCGTCAATGAGCTTGAGTTTCTTGGGCGTTGTCTTGTCGTACGTGGCGCAAAAGTCGCTGACGATGGAACCGACGCCGGCACTGGATTTCGTCATTGAGGTCTTTGCCATGACGGACGTTCGTTGACTGCACTGGTCGTGTAGATTGACTCTAGAGGATATGTCCTTTTCTCGCTTATAATTGTAAGAGAACGGGCGATACAAAGCAGACGCGTGGAGCTGTTCCGTAGCTCTTCGTCGCTGACCGTTCTGATTGGCTGACGTGCATCGCCATTACTAGTGAGAGGTTCCTGAGATTGTGGAGGGAATAACATACCATCCACATCCAAATGGGTCGTGCGGTTGTATTGTTGAGGTCCTATTGCCAACGATCACTCGACCTCACCATCATCTTGTAAGCATGCACACCAATCAGGCATCTTTGACTGTCGAGTCTCTTCCTCTTCCTCTTTGCCTCTCCTTGTGCTTAAATCTTCTCCGTGAGCTCAGGTACGGCCTTGAAGAGATCGTCCACGAGACCATAGTCTGCCACTTGGAAGATCGGAGCTTCCTCGTCCTTGTTGATGGCCACAATGGTCTTGCTGTCCTTCATACCAGCCAAGTGCTGAATGGCACCCGAGATACCAGCAGCCACGTACAGGTCCGGAGCCACGACTTTGCCGGTCTGGCCGACTTGCAACTCGTTGGGCACAAAACCGGCATCCACAGCCGCGCGGGACGCACCTACGGCACCGCCCAGTTTGTCCGCTAGCTTGTACAGCAGCTCAAAGTTCTCGCCGTTCTTGAGGCCGCGGCCACCCGAGACAATCACACGAGCCGAGGCCAGGTCCGGGCGTTCCGACTTGTTCACTTCCTCCGAGACAAAGCGCGTCTTGCCGACTGTCGGCACTTCCATACACGGATTCACCGACGCGTTGCCCCCTTCACTTGCTGCTTGTTCAAAGCCCGTTGGCCGCACGGTCATGAGCTTCAAGGCGTCGTTGCTCTTGATCTGAGCAATGGCATTGCCCGCGTACGTAGGACGGATGAACGTGTCCTTGTCGATCACAGCCACAATGTCCGAAATGGGGGCCACGTCGAGCTTCGCGCCGGCTCGAGGGAGGTAGTTCTTGGACGCATTCGAGCTCGGGGCCAGGACGTGCGTGTAGTTCTCTGCCTTCTGAGTAGCAACCAGCAGCTCCGCCACCTCTTCGGCCAGCGAGTGGTCGTACTTGGGATCAGCAGCGTGCAGCACGTTCTTCACGCCTGGAATCTTCGCAGCCGCTTCAGCAGCTGGACCCGCTTGGCTGCCCAGGACCAACAGCGTAATGTCACCGCCCATTTGGGACGCTGCGGTGACTGTCGACAGCGTTCCGCTCGAGATTTGCGACTGGTTGTGCTCAGCAATCACGAGCGTCGACATGAATAGGCTGCGGGAGCTCTGCTTGGCAGCATAACGGGTGGCCTGGTAAGTAAATAGATACAAACACACGGTACAGGTCAGTGTAAGTCCCTTGTCGGGTTAGAAACCGTGAGACAGTGGACGCTGCCGGCGTCGAAAGGCAACAGCGACAGGGGGAATCGATAGCGGAGACGCTGCTGCATCAGATGGTATGCCGTTCGTGGGTCAAGGGACAGCAGAGCACGAGCTATCGAGCACTTACCAGTCGGGCGAGCATGGTGGACGACGATAAAGCGAGCGGATCTTGCAATGGCGGACGAGGGGTACGGAGTGACGCACCGGGCGGTGGACGGTGAAAGCCGATACAGAGACGGGAAAACGATTTTGAAGGGGACGGGAGAAAAGAGGCGACGGAACATCACGAAACGTCGTTGTTGAAACGCTGCAATGGTTGTGACAAAACGTGCTCTTCAACATGTACCCATCTACAACGGGCAAAGTCAATGAATCGGACGTACATACGCCCTCCTCGACTGCAATGAATAGCACTGTCATGTCACGTCTTCAGCTTACCCTTTGCTGCCTTCTTGATCGTTTGTCAAATGGTAGAGCTCCTTTTGTTAGTCCACTGGCTGAGCCGTCACAATTGGCACGGGTGTAGCGCCTGCTCGTGGACTGCCTTGGTGCACATACGACGCCTGGTTCTCGCGATTCGTTCCTTGTTGCGGCACTTGACGGTCTCGAGAATGGCCTTCGCTGTCCTTGTCCTTCCTTCCAAGCACGACAATGGCCAAGAAAGCGAGCATGGCGAGGAACGACATGGCAACGCCCAGGTACAGCTGTCCACATTGCAAGAAGCGTCCAAAGCCCCATTGGCACTGCAGCGTGATCTTTGACAGCAGCAACACGAGCGTCGCGACCGTGAGGCAGACTAAGATCGTGAGGTCCATGACGGTACCTCAGGAGTGCACGGGACGCACGCAGAGACGGAGCCACTCGACACACACGAGAAAAATGAATGCGTAGACAAACGCCAAGAAGTTGATGATGCGGGCAAACGTGAGCGCGCCGCTGTTTACAATCACAGGAACAGTTTGACCTCCGGCCGTGTTGTGGAAGGTGATCCCGACCGTTTGCAGCGCAATGTAAGCGACGAGCGAGCTGCCAAACTGGATGAGCCGCACGAGCACGCGGGTCCAGAACAGACAAAGGCCACTGGCACACCACGACCACTTTGACGCCATCTTCGTTTGCAGACTCGACAGCAGGAGGTTGTCTCGGATCGAGTTGTGTGCTGGTCAGTTGTGTTTCGACGCTGCAGACAGTTAGGGAACGCACTGGCAAGTTGGGTAGCGAAGTCGAAGAAAAGGATTGATGAGCTGCAACATCGCATCGATATCCGCGATACCTACGAGAAAAATACAGAGAGTATCGATCGTATCCGACAAAACACACATAAAGTCTCGGCATTTAGAAACCCCATGACGTGACTTGGGAATGGACTTTGCTTAACATCCCAACAGAAGAACGAGAACTTTGGATACGTGTGAATCGCCAACGGAGATACGAATGCAGCAACTGATTGCAGACACGCAAAACTAGATCTCGACACCGCATTCCGTTGCTCCTAGTGTGAAGGACAATTTCGACATCGATGAACAATTTCGAGACTCAATCAATCTACATGGCAAAAGGACTCGATCCTAAGCAAACACACGCGAGACACTAAACTTGTTCTCTTTCTTGCAGAATAAATGGTCAATGCTATCCACCTCACTCGGTCGCCTTCGTTCAACGACCTCGCCAACGACGTGTACCTGCCATTCGACCTTACACGCGGTTGGAAGCATTTTTCGGGGTCGAGGCTCCAGTCGGCGTCGTCTCAGCGGCATACCCTGCAATCGGACGTCCGTGGCCTGCGGCATTGTTCGAGTCGCTGTGTTCTCCGTCGTGATCGCGAGAGCCCATGAAAGACTCGCAGCAATTGACCAGAAACGACACGAAATAGGCCAGGGATGCGAGGAACGTAAAGACGACTGCTGTCTTCAACTGGTTGCAACGCAGCATGTACCCGTATACTGAGCAGTTCGACACATAGTCCGACACAACCAGCACAATTCCCGCAACCACTAGCATGGCAGCCAGTATCAGGTCAATCAGTTGCTCCACCCAACGCGGTGTCGGACGCGAGTAAACCCGCATCACCTCCACCAGCAACAGCAGGAACAGTCCCACCAGCATGCCCGTGTACGTCACAAGCGTCGTATACGTCGCCGCTCGGCTCCCCAGCATACTCGAATACCCATAGTACGAGGTCCCTACGAAAGCTCGCGAAACAGTCGCCAGCGCAACAAGCGAAAGAGCAAACTGCAAAAAGCGAAGCAGGGCCCGCGACCAACGCAGTGTGTTTCCACGTGCCATCGTCTAGGCCGCTTCGTCGAGTAGTAGTAGTGTGTTGTTGTTGTTATTGTAGTGGAGACTTCTCGGCTCTGCAGCGTATTGCGGAATAAATGGGAAGCGAGATGACGCTTGCACTGGGACGAGGTCAGCACGACTGGAGCCTCGTGCGTCCCCGTTAGAATGATCCAACGGGTGCAAAGTGGCGAGAGGCGGTGGAAGATGACAAGAATCAACGGGATTTTACAGCAAGTACTGTATTGTCCCTTTTACCCGAAAGAACGACACGGTGGATGCTTGTGGACATGCTTTCTTTCGAACGCAGGTAAGAAGGGGACTTGTCCTTGCTGTAGCAACGATGTTCCTGACTGTCTTCGCACAGCGGTCAGAAGAAGAGGAAGGTCTTGAGACGTCAGTTGTGTCGATATCCGAAGGGTACCGAGAAGTGATCATCGCAGGAGGGGCTTGACCAGAATACAGCTTCAAGCAATAGCGAAGCGCGACGTCCACATCATCGTCTATGACATGACCACTTCTTTGGTCGCATGAGCTTCTTTGTGCAGACAGAATCTGCTTACCGGCGCGTAGAATCGGTGTCATCGGTCCTATCATTGATGGCTTCAGCTTCTTGGCAGCTCATACTCGACTGCCACCTGCACTGGCGCAGCAGTGTTTCCCAGTTGAGTCGCCAAATCAAATCCTGGAACGCACTGGAGTCCGAACGTTGATACACAGCTCTGTAGCTTACGCCTGTGCTCTGTCAAATGGCACGAGAGGTGCAGTTGGAGCGATTGTCTCACGCGGATGCTAGAAAGGTAGCGGGTAACTCAAGAGAGCTCAGACATGTTGCATGAAAGACAGAGTCGTGTTAAACGACTTGTCCCGGCGACCACCACTGCTGCCTCGGGCTCGGCTTGTCAGTTGCTTCGAGTTTTCGTTTCGGTGGACTGCATCCAGTCGTGATGGGGGACACTAAACTTGTCATGACTCGTGGGGATCGTGGGGGTCTCTCCAAGATACACAGACCTGACGGTGTCGTCACTTTGAGTGTATACGTGTTCCCACTGAAGGACGGTGAAAAGGCTTTGGACTGCGGCGTCGTCCACGTGCTATGGTACCCATACGGCGCTGGGGAGATAATAGCGCTCCCGGTTTCGAAATCCATGCCCTCGTTCGGTTGCTTGCGTTTCTTCCGCTCGAACAGGGACGTCAGGGACGTGAAGAAGCCGGACGCGAGCTTGAAGATCAAGGCGATCGCTGCCGTGCTCACCACGACGCTCACGACGAAAGGAAGGCTGATAGTAAGCACCGTGTCGAGGGACATTGGATGACAAGGGCTGCAAAACGAGAATGACTTGGCCAATCTCGGTCGCACTCACGCGCCGAATGCCATCGATGCAAACGTTAGTGCTCGCTTTCGCTGTACCTACAGGATGGACCACTGGACTGTTCCTTGACTTTCGCCGTTTCAGTGCACGCGGGTGAAGGCGACGCTCTCGAAGGAGAGGCGTCCACAAGCGACGTGAAGCTCTATACTGCATTGAGAACCAGACGCGTTTGCTTTCGCTAACGGCAAGAAAGGGGTGTCTGTTTCGTTACGAACACGGGTACTGCAACCGAGAGTCGCGTGCAGGAAGCTTCGGCACCGAGCGAGTACGTGTCCTGTACCATCGAGCGACGGCGAAAGGGGATCGTCGTTGCCCGCCAGAGGAACTGGTCGGCAACGACGATCCCCTTTCGCCGTGTCGATGACATGAAGAAGCACTATGTTTGTCGGTTATGTGGATGGCATGCACGCAGTCACGTGCACACGAATCGACGACATGGAGCGGGTGTGAGGCATAGTGTCCGTCCGTCCGTCCGTCCGTCCTGAGAAGGGGACTCGAGCGGTAAGATCGGAGCAGTGGCGTGCGACTCTTCATGGACTCAGTCATGTTGAAGTGGCGTGGAAGACAGATGCCAGTGGATCGGCAGCACTGCTCTGTCGATTCAGGTGCTGCGTTTGTAGGCAGATCTGGACGGCAATGCATGTGATGAGACTGCGTTGGCGAGCACGAAAGGTATCGTGTGCCTACGTATATAACTACCGATGTATGTATCTATCGGTGGCCGCAGACGATAGACGTCATTGCATCGATGCACTCACTCCAACATTGTTTCGTGCCCTTCTTCCAGCCCCAACTGGTTCACATGGGTGCGTCTGCCCAAACCAACGGAGCTCTTCCGGTGCCCATGATACGGCAGTGACCCAAACTTCAGAGGTGGTCAGTGCACCGTCAAGTACGTGCGGACGGTGCAGTAACCCTCAGCAGCCGCAGAAGGCCACTCACTGCCTTCTCGCGCGGTCCAGAAAAGTGTCGACGTCATCAAGACAGCGCCCACCCACTTGTGCGTAGTGCTGCTGAGCTGTCCGTTTCTCGGTCAAGTGGCGGCATTATTGGATCCACTCTTTCTGCGGTCGCACGCGCTGTCGGCTCCTGTCTTTTCTCCGTCGCGTGCCATTTGTTCGTGCAGCGAAGTTCAACCGACAACGGAAGAACGGCGCACACCCCATTGGCGGCATATCCCGTCAGTTGCGCGAGTAACGCCACCATCGAAACAGCTCCTGCATCGGAAGGCGGCAGCAGGTCCATGCGCACGCGGCGTATCGACGACCATCTGACTCGCTCGGACCTCTATCCCACACAAGCAGCTGAGCGGAAATATCCAGCGGGCGGCGCGTAATGCCCTGTTGGACACGACCGCTTGACAAGGGACGGAAGGAGACGGAGATGACGAAGAACCGAAGACGACAAGAACCGAAGAAGACGACTGACCAGACGTCCGCACGCGTCTCCTGTTTCCTCGAGCGCAAATTCTTTTTCCATCTCCTGCGAGCTAAACCGCCCACCTGTTCGTCCCCCCTACTGCTACTCAACACAGCGGCAACTCGTGTCAATATGTTCATGTAGTACGTGTTATTCAAGCGTTAAAAAGCAAACCAACCGCCGACTTTTGCCCAGCCGCGTCTTCCTGTCCTCCCTCTCCTTTCCTTCCCCCCCTAACTGTTCCGTGCGTGTCCACCAACAGCTCCTTCCCCACAAGAAGAGTAGACCAACTGCCTCGCCAGGTGCTGTCGGTCCATCCTGCGCCATCAACTGCCTCTTAGACCCTCGACGAAGTAAATCCCTCGTGCGGAACGCCAAGCGGAGACAGTGTCCCCGACGTCGGTGTCGCGTGCTGGTGGTACGGCACGGGCTCTTCCACCTGCACGTCCGTCAGTCCGTGCGACGGCTCGCTCGGACTCAGGAACGTCAGGGCCAGTGACAAGAGGAAGAAAAACATGGCCACAAAGGCAAACGCCGTTGCGGCGCGGAGGTTGTTGCAGTGCCACCCCACTCCACAGTCGGTCGTGTAGTCCGACGCCGCGAGGCAAATGCCGGCGACGAGGAGCAAGAGCACGAGCAGCGCGTCCATACCCTGCTCGACCCGCAGCGCTGGGCGCGTGACCAGGTGGAACACCTCGACGGCCACGACGTACCACAGCGTGTAGAGCATGCCCGTGTACCCCATGAGGAGCACAAACGTGCTCGAGTGCGTGGCCCCGCCGCCGTAAAAGCCCGAGGCGGCAAACGCGAGGGCCAATAGACTGCAGATGAACTGCACGCCCCGCAACCCCAAGCGCATGTACGCCATGTTGGTGGGCGACGTGGCTACAAATTTGGTCATATCGAATCGGGTGGGCGGTTCGTGGGACTGGTGGGAACTGACTGGCTGGCTGACTGCCTGCCGGATGGGTACAAAAGGGGACGTGCGTGCGTGCGTGCGTGGGCGAGCGCGCAGATTCCAGACTGACCGTGTCGCACACAGAGGCTGTTGGGCACGATCTGCGACATGTGCTGCCTACAGGACCGAAGATAGGCGGCGAGGGTGCTTTCGATACAAACACGAGGTGACCCTAAGGTTTTGGACGCGGTCGCCCCAGGAAAAGGCCAGCGAAAAAGTCGTGCGCGCGCGAGAAAAGCGACTTATATAGAGCGTGTCGGCAGTCGCGGCTGTCCCCACGAGAGATCTCTCTATGTGCGTCTGGACTTTGTGTGCTTTACGTGCGAGAGGTACGAGACACGTTGGGGCCTTATTGACTGGTGTTTTGACATCAAGTCACGGTCCTTCGTGTCGCTGTCGTCGACTCGAGTGCAGTCGGACACACAATTAGACCCTTCCGAGCGCCTGCCTCGTTCCCAGCGCCGGGCGCCTAGAGCGGGTTCCGACGCGTTTTTTCGTGGCGCACAATCGCGCACGTACATCCGGTTCCGACGTTCTTTCGTCCGTCCATTGTCGCTCGTGGTCAGCACGTGTACTCACTTTGCTTGCAGCGTGTTGCTACGTGCTAAACGGACTCGTTGCGTGTCAGTCGTTGCGACGACGACGGAGTGGGAGAGTCCGGATGGATTGAGCTTCTTCGTGTCGCGTCCTTCGACGGAGCCTTTTCAATGCGCCCCACGTGTATGATCGAAACACACTCAAGAAGGAGCTGCAGGACTTGTTGGTAGTGCCGACGAGCGCTGTCTCACGCGCGTAACAGATGATTCAGTCAGCATTCCCGTCAACGAGCGAGTGCCCGCACACCTATTCCGTGTCGTCCGACTCGACGAGCAGTGCGAGAGAGGTAGAGAGGCTGTAGCCATTGGGTGACATCGACAGTCTAGAGAGATCGATACATGGGGTGCAGTCGAATGACGTGTGAGCACAGTTGACGGCACATTCGATCACGAACGGACGAAACGTGTGCTTTTAGTGCTCGCGTTCCTATCGGCAAATCTGATAAAACTACAGCGGACGGGAGACGAGCAGCTCGCTGCTCTTCCGCTGTAATTCAGTATCATTGCTCGGTCTCAGACCATTGGTCCATCTACATATACAAGCGAGCCTCCATCGATGGCATGTAAGGAGCGGATCTAGGTCCAAGGAGGGATACGCCCCCTCGTTCCACTCTCATCAGCGCCTAGACAGTGAGCAGCCCGGGCTCAAAACGAGCCCAGCTGCCACCAAGCATTCCTTTCCCACGTCTGTAACAGAGCTAGCGCTACGGAGTAGAGCAAGTAAGCTCCTGACATAGATCGTGGTACTGGTGGTACTGGACATGGTAACAATCAAACACGCACTTCCTCTCTTCCTGTCTACTTCCTTCAGCCTCAACTGTCGTATTCCCAACTGCGTTCCCAACTCCGTCAATGGGCTCCATGGCCAAGTAAACACAAGACTAAAAATGACTGGCGCGCACGCTTTTGCCACAACGAGCGAGCCAAATCAGCAACCAGCCTCTCTTACCGAATACCGTTTCTCAAGAGGTTTTACCGCGACACAACCGCCGGCCGCAGGTATATTCGCGCCAGCCATTCGAATGCACTTCTTAGGTCGCTTTGGTGCCATCTGCGGCGCGAGGCGAGCTTTTCTACAGACAGTCGCGACCGTGCGTCCTTCGAAAACGTGTCGCCCATTCGCTGTCGGCTTTAGTAGCTCGAAACAGGCCAAACCTCTCGGATTGAACGATGGCGTCAACATCGCGTCTGGCCTATCGCCATTCATGCAGATGTTGACGGCCTACGTCGTCCTAAGCGTCTCCGCGATGGGGCTTATTGCTCGATACAAAAGCCGTGATACGAAACAGGACGAGGTGGGTCACGGTCCTACATCGAGACCTTTTTTGGTCCTCGACGATGTTATCTGGGAAACAATGTGACTACTGAAACTAACGTGTTGTTGCCTGCGGCACATATGGTGCGACGCATAGAACGTGCGCATCTTCAATATGGCCAAACGCGCGGTCGTGAAAGACCGACGTGTGTTTGAGATTGTTGGATACCCGAAACAATTCGAGCAACTGTCAGCTCCTGACGCAGATAATGGACCTGATGAGCTCCAGTCTAGCGAAGGGACGTTTAAGATCACGGGCGACAAGTACGTACCTACGTTTTTGTATACTCTTTTTGGTTTGTTTGTTGCATGTAGGATACAAGAATAAAGGAATGTGTGGTGGTGCTATTGCTCGTAGGGGGAGTGTAGTCGTGCACTATCGGCAGAAGATGCACGAGCACAAGGACAAAGACAGCGACATTGTCACGTTTGATGAATTGGGCGTCGAGTGTGAAGATGGGACGCACTTTTCCGCTCTGGCCTCTTTCTTGCAGAATCAGGACGTTGTTACGCACCAGAACTCCGAGTCGTTGGGCAAGAAGATGTTTCTCCCGGTCATTGGCGGCGTGTTGATTGGTGGCGTAGCCTCATTCTTCGCCATTCGGATCCTGCGCAATCAACCGTTCTACGTGCACAAGTTGGTGCTGGACCACGTGAACAAGCACGAGATGGCGCGCCAACTGATTGGACACCCGATCCAGAGCGATCGCCGGAAATTTGCGGGCGTACTGACGAGTGAGGCTGCGAATTACACGATTCCTTGCTCTGGACCGAAGGGCAGTGGCACGCTCATTGTCAAAGCTTTCAAAAAAGTAGACCCGAGCGGGAAAAGTGAAGACGAAAAGGGCAAGGTCATGACCACACCAGGCACGTCTTGGAAGTTTTCTACGCTTGTGCTATCCGTTGGTCGGAATGAAAAGCGCAAGACGAAGAGCGCCAAGACCATCAATCTTCTGAACAGTGGCGGAGTGCCGTCGGTGCCACATCCGCAGTCATAGCTGAGACTACGAAGAACGCTGTTCAGCTGACACAGAAACAGCTGTCTCTAATAGTTATTGCGTCTAGAAATACATTGTGCTAACGATCAAGAGCTTTGCTGAAACATGTCCATGTTATTCGTTAGCGTCTTGGCGCGCACGTACTTATCCAGCATGCAGTCCAATCCTCTTCTACAGCTCCAACTCTATGAAGGAAGGCAAGTGTATGCTGCTCTTGCCTGAAGTGCTTGTTGAAGGCAAGATGTACGGAAAAAGCTGGCTGCCTAAATAATCTGTTCAATTGACCAGCATTGTGGAGGCCGCTAGACTAGAAGCAGATGAATGCCCATTTCACAGTGCCAACAGTTGTATCAGAGCAGCAAAGCAGCTATTCGACATACGGACGCAGACAGCTACTTACTCAAACGATCGTATCCTGCCCTTCCTTCTCAATGCTGCAGACAGTGGTTACCCGTATCGGTGTGCTTGACAGAAGTCTGCTCAGCGTTGTCTACTGCAGTATGAACTGCCTAAGCGATAGCACGCATCAAGGACAGGTCGTTCCGCGTATCCTCCGTTTACATACGAGCTGTAGATTCCGTGGCGATCAAGTCCAACAGAATGACAAGCATTGCTCGGTCGAATCTTCAGGCACCCTGAACACGACCGAGAGCCATTGACTTGCTGGCACATGACACAGGATGCTGGCAGAATGGGCATCACGAGTGAGTAGCAATCTATCATTGACCTGAATGGACCTCACTGATATAAGCATGTCTTCACGATCCCTTGTCGACTGTGTGCCATAATTGGGGAGAAAACGAGTCAGGAAGCGTCAGGTACTATGCTTCGTAGTCGATGCTGTTGCGTGAGCGATAGGGAAGTGCACAAAAGAACGCGCTCCACTCTTTTCCAACCCAAATCGAACTGTGTTCTAGACGACCAGCGTCAATGATAACTTCAGCAACAGGCCGCCGAATGTTTAGCTCCTACGACCTCGTCAAACAGTTGTCGCCGAGGATTGCGGCATGTTTACTACCGTAATTCATGTCTCGACAGACTTACTGAAAGCAACACTTTGCGTTGAGCTAAAAGTACCGCGTGTGACTGTCGAACTAACAAGCCGTCATGTGTCACATTGCAAACGATTGTTCGTGAAGAAGAGAACGCATGAGGCCGTTCAAATAGCCTTAGCGGATGACGGAGTCGAGACTACAGCAGTTGCACTTAAGAATAATCGCTCACCGATTCTTAGCATCCCCACGAGCGACGCGAGCAACAGTTTGGCTCGTGGCGCGCTGGTTCAGCACTTGCTTTAGAACTTTTAGCCACCTACATGAGTAAATGCTAGTCTAGCACGCTTTTGTACATGTCGAGCTACAACGTTCCAATACAGAGCCCTCACATCGTTAGGTGTGTGCAATCTGGCAGGATCCCCACAGTAGGCATAGCAACACCAAGTGGTTCATACGGACGTTTGCTGTCCAGTGCTGTGTCACACGACAGGTCGGTGTAAAGCAAAGTCGACGGCGCTGGTTTTAGGGAAGCCAGCTCCACTTCGGCAGTAGTGAATGGTCAATGGGGTTGCTTTTTTCGGACAACACTTGCGAAAGCTTGCAGCCAGCGGCCGTTAGAACGGATTGCGGAATGGTATTGCAGCATACTCTTCAATCAGACGCTGATCCATCCAGTCGTGCAACATTTTGCTTCCAGCTGAACGGATCGCGCAAGCGAGTTCGCTCGATAGAATAAGGGGCAGCGAAACGTGTGACCATCGCAAGTTGCCAAGCGTGCGACCTCATGGGCCGCCTGATATCTAGACCACGTAGGAAGGAAAGGGCCGTGCTATTGTGGTGTGGCTTTATGCTACTGCCTCCTGAACTCGGGTTTTGTCTACCGCAACACTGTCCGACTCGGGACAAATCCAGACCGCTGACATACACTGTGTCAAGGACTGTCCAGAAGGATGCTCGAAAGGTGCATCTCGTACGAGAAAGAAGACATCATCTGAGAAAAGAAGTACACATTGAGCGTTGTGAACCGCTAGGGCGCTATGGAAAGTGGGTCAATGCGGCCGAGCAAAAGGATGCTTCAATGCTAGTAGCAAGACCGTGCACGCGACAAGAATCAATCATGATCTGATTGTAGCTGGCGGTGACACGACGCAACATGACAAGATGAGACTCGTACACCTCGAGAATCAGCAACAGCGTCAGACGCACGTTGCGTATCCAAAAAGATAGCATGGTCTACCTTCTTCCATTCGACTCCGTATGACTGGTGAGGACCTAGACGTGACGCTTGCGCCATCCCAAATGTACAGCAGTAGATGAACCACAACTGGTGCTTGTGACGCCATTGCTAAATGCGACGAATGGTACAGTGACACATGATGTGCTTCCATTCAACACAGTCCGAGTAGTGTTGCGTTGTGTATGTAGCAGTTTGGAAGGCCGCGCGCTTCCTCTTTCTTAGCAACATTCAAGAGTGCTGCAGCGAATAGGTCTTGTACAAAATCCTCGTATGGATGGACGCATTCATTCGAAGACATCTGGACTTCCGAAAGATTCACGTTCCTTTGCTGAAGTCCCGAGCATGTACGCTACACTACGCTAATCTCAGATTTGCTTCATCTGGCATGTTCTTACCGCACATGTTCTCATGCCTTAGCCAGGATCCTCTGCGTAACAGAGGATCGAAATTCCCTCGACTCGCTGCTTACCGATCGCTGATGTGTGACCAACGTCTGGTGCTGATGGGAGGCCTATCAGCCGGATGTGCCAGTGCTGTTGAATCGCCCGAGTAGAGACGTCCAATGAAGTAGTAGGCGGCCAAGCGATGCTAGCGAATGCTGTTGCCGTTCTAGTGATCGAATCGGCTTTTGTCGGTTCGTTTGCGTCTTAGAGTTGTCTGCCATGTTTCTAGTAACCAGGGATGCGGTGGCAGTACCCTCTGCTCACTCTACGAAAGACTCGGTAGCAGAATCTGAGCCTGCAGTTTTGGTAGACTACATGATTCACCTGCAAGCTCAAACGGTTGTTGTTCTTCAGGACAACCGTATCCGTTGCGTCTTACGGGCTTACGTCCATCGCTTCTGGACGACATGATTCCAAATACATTCGATGCTGTCACGCAAAAGGATGCGTACTACTGACACCTCGTCCAGACTGACAGACAGACAAACAGACCGACAGACCATGTGTACAGCAGACGTAGTTGCAGCACGCGCTGCTCAGCGGGATAAACAATCGATGGTATGGCATCTCATACATACCCGCCTCGAACCGCAAGCGTGTTTTTCGAGACGTCGTCATCGGCAGCATTGGAGTAGACGTCATTCGTTCAATGTCGACACAGTTTGTTTGGCTATGTACGTGGTCAGTAGCCTCAAAATTAAATGACGTTTTTTCTGGGAAGTCTTCGAAGAGGGTGCCGTCGATGGCTGTGAGTTCATTCACACGCACGATGGCTGAGTTTGCCATTGGTGCTTGTACTCAAACAACTGCACGAGACGACTGCATGTCTCCAATTTGCATCAGTTTCGTGCAGTGTCAAGGTCATTGTGACGAGATGCCTCTCAAAGGTCCACTACATTCGGCAATCGATAAACAAATGCATGCTTGGTTCTAGGAATATCTCTTCATAGTGAGGAGCGCGTAACAACTTTGTAGATCGTGTGAACTACACGATGGTCGCAAACACGATGTAGTTAAGATAACACAGTGAAAACTTCATTGTATTTGAGTTTATTAACGAGCAAGTTCACGCTTGGGTGCGTGAGTTGCATAGCTACTAAACTATGTCGAGAAATCCATTACCGCATCACATGAAAATGTGATCAGAAGATGCTGCGTGAATCGCAGTACCGTAGTGTGCCTACTGCCAACCGATCCATCACACCTGTGTGATAGACTTCCTAATCTCGATGGAAAATACGGGATCAGCAGTTGCTGAAATAGCAGCAAGAGAGGCAGACATGATCCCAATCTTCGAAGCTCGGGGGCGATGTATACATCCTGTTTAAAGCCTTTGTGGCTTTATCGATAAAGGTTGGGTTACTTCGGCAACTTTGGTGACCGCTGCACGAGCCGCTATTAGCCTGGACAGCGGTAAAGATGGTCGCGGCGACGAAGACGAGCGTAGTGGTTTTGACCTTCATCGTTGATGTTGGCAGCTTGAAGTGGTAAGGTCGTGTGCGGTGCGTGGCAAGTTGTGAAATGAAAGAAGTAGTGGCGGTCCTTGAGAGCCAAGAGCGCCAAGTGCGTGCTTCACGGCGACGTCGCGACAGAATGAAGCACTCGATGCATACGGCACTACAAAGAAGGGGTGCACCATCACTTGTGCACAAGTCCCGGACGGACAGACAACCAGTTTCGAGTCTGTGGGCTGTGGTTCTTTGGCAATGTTTGCGCCGACTCGAGCCAGATGTCATGCACGGTCCCTACGCTTCACACACTTCGCCTTTCGCTACATCGTGTCATGTCTACTCTAGCTTACAATAGCAGGTTCGTTACGACCGTTGCCTACAGCACAGATACCGTCTGACTTTTTGTATATAGAGCTCTTACGTACCCTGGAGGGGCTGGAGTAGATAGCTCTCTACCCGTCCCAGCTTGAACCAGCAACTGCAGCGGACACCTTACGCTTTTGTCCCAATCACTCAATATGACATCCGTTTCAATCGGATGGGACACTTTGTTGGTGACGCGAGTTGTCGATCAGACCGTGGCGTCGTCACTCCACTACGATTTGTCGATCAGACAGTCTTTCCATCACATCAAACGACGAAATTACTATGCGGGAGAGATTTCATGGCGGTCTATTACATAAGATTAAGTAAAAGATGTCTGAAAGCTCCAGAGCCAGGAAAGCAGCACCGGTGACGGTGAACTCTCGTGACTGACCTCAGGAGCAACCGGGAAATCCCTCGGCTCAAGAGTAAATTGTTGTTTAGCACTTGAGTTGTAGAACGCAAAATGCAAGGTGAATATATTTAGGTCCTTAGTTCGCAATCTCTTTTG